GGGCTTCACACGTTGTACCCATGTCGGGAATCGAACCCGGGTTTCCGGAGGGACAAGCAAACGCTGTAACCACTAGGCTACCCGACCTCCCTAAAGCGGAAGATAAAACTTGAGTCTCCAAAACATTCTTGAAAGAAATCCATTGGTTTCACAATCCGCTGACATAGTTACGTTGCGGTTCATATATATTGTATCAAATTGAACATCTGCTTTCAAAGTCAGAAGTAATGTTCTCTTTCTGCAAGATAAGCTACACAGGATTTTAACTGTTTTCATTTTTTTACATAATAATATGAGCTTGGTATGCACTAACTGCAAGCAAATATGAATCTCTTCACTTTGATATAGTCTTTGATAGGCAATTAGAAGTTAGAAGAACATGAATACATAACACTCTTTTTGGATAACAACTTCTTTTATTTTTGGTATTAGCTCTGAAACGGCGTGACAAAGAATAAAAGAAGCTATTATCCATAAAGAGTATCATGTACTTTTCACTTGATGTGGTTGGTTCTCTGTTCATATTATGAGTGTTTCAGTCAATTTGACATTAAATATTTCTGACTGATGTCGTGCCGTCATGTTGCCATTTTGTGAAGGTTAATATTAAATAAAAGGAATTTATTTGGGTCGGTCTTACATACATAAGAAATCTGACGAGGTCGAATTACATATACAGTAAACTGTGGTTATAACGAACCCAAATCGACCACCAATTTTAGTTTGTTATAACCGTTGTTCGTTTATTAGCAAATATACATCTAATGGGCGAGACCAAAAAATGAGTTCAATGATCCGTCAGTTCGTTATAAGCGTGTTCTTTATAAACACTCTTTACTCTCTATATACGAAACGATACACATCACTGAAATACTTTCTGAAAATGAAGACGATGCACAGCTTTATTTCAGTTACTGATATACTTAATGGCTGTCTCGAGTATGTCATGTGTGACTGGTCTCATGGAAGCATTCCCTTTGGCTTGGACATTCAGAAACTGGCAGCACAACATGGAGTTGGTCACTGGAATCCTGGGGATGCACCCACACCTTCTAAAACTGCTCGAGGGTTCCTCCTTAAGCCAGGATTGTTATGAACTCAATTCCATGGTTAAGAAGAATACGAGTCCAAACATAGTGAGTAATTTCAGAGGATTTTATGCAAGAACGCTAGACTTTGCATGCATCTATATATACTGACGCCTCCAAGGATTCTTCCATGGTTCGTACTGCTGGGGCTTTCTGGATCCCTGATTATTCTATCTCCGACGTGTTCATTATTCATGATTACATTTAGCATTTGCAGCAGAACTTACAGCACTTCTACAAGCATTTACATGGGTGGATAAATATGACAATGAAGCAATCATTTTACTGATTCATTGGCAGCAATTAAGGCTATGAAGTCTGGAGTTATAGGGTCTAGAAATGATATTGTTAGCGACATTTTGAAACTGGACACATTTTTTAATACTGAATATATATCCTGTGTTATTGTATGGGTTCCAGCTCGTGCTGGCCTGAAGAGTAATGTTAATGATGCTGGGTCAGGATTACTAAAGGATGAGGTTGATAATTCTGTATTCAGGCCTAGCTGAAGAGACTTCAATATACTATTGCGAAGTCGGCCTCCATAAAATGGCAACATTTGACGGATGTTGATTCTACTTGACGACATTTGCACCAGTTACACCACATTTACAACTTGCCGTCCCAAGAGACGTGATGAAGTAGTTTTGACGAGACTTCGTCCTGCATGGTCGCTGTGTACTAAACGCCTACACAAGTGTTGACAAGGAGGTATCCCCTCTGTGAGGCCAATGTAGTGAACATACACCTGAAGCAAGTGCAACATTATCTGTTAGAATGTCCTCGGTATGACAACATAAGACAAAATCTTAGAAGTGTGGTTCCTATTCTTTAGAATAGATGTGTTTGTCAGCTGTTGACTAGATGTTTCTATTCTTTCGACTAGGTATGTTCCTATTGCTTTTATATGTTTCTATTCTTTTGACTTGACGTGTTCGTCTGCTGTTGACTGGATGATCCTATTCTTCTTACATGTTACATGACAAGATGTGTTCCGATTTTTTCCCTATAAATGTTCCTCCTCTTTTGACTATATGTGTCTGTCCGCTTTGACAAGATGTGTATATTCTCTTGACTTGGTGCTTTTCTCTTCTTTTTACTAGATGTGCTCCTATACTCTTTTGATTAAATGTGTTCCTTACTTTAAATTTGATGTGTTCGAGTAAGAGGCGACTAACGAGATAGTTTGTTATTTAGACTACAGGGCAATATGAGATAACCGGAATATTGCTGACTGTGGCGTCAAACAACAATCATCTGGTCAATCTCTGTGACAGATTGTTCCTGGAATAGACATTAGTTTTGTATCCAATAACATTATGAGCCGAGGCGCTTTGACCACTACCCTACCCTTTGTGTGCCCATGGTTTAAGTAAGTGTCAGATCTAGGGCCTATTTCCCATCTAGGGTTGATCTTACACAAGAATGAAAACAAACATGTGAATATAAAGAAGCTAGATTTTGTATAAATATCCTCATCTTACCGGGATTGCCCGTATCCCCTGGCCTATGTACAGAAAATAGCGTTTTCTCATTTAAAATGTTTTCCGAAATTTAAGAAGCTAACGCTTTCTTACATAAACAGGGGACAACCATTACTGAAAAAATAAGAAACTGTTCAATTGATTTTACTAAAAAAACATGAATTTTAACTTTGAACCGGACTTACTGTTGAATGCACAATGCATTCGAAGGGAGTAAGTTATTAATTCAGGGAAGATCACTCAAAAATAAATATCTGAATTTAAGTTCATGGGCCTAAATACGAAATTATTTACGTTTTTTTTGGCCCATGAGCATAATAACGCGTAATAACATATCTCCAATGTGTGGTTGGTTTCTCATGTGTGATTTAAGTTCTAATTATATGCAAAACAATTGCTCTTTCTTGATTACAGCATATCCATGCTCTTTCCATGGCCACAGTGATATGATAACTTTGTAGTACCAATTTATATAAAGAGTAAGAGACATTATACTGACAGATACCATCAGTGGGAGGAATCCTGCATGTAACGTACCAGTGTCGACTGAGATGTTATATTGACAAGGCACCATCGGTGGGAGGAATCCTGCATGTAACGTACCAGTGTCAACTGAGATGTTATATTGACAAGGCACCATTGGTGGGAGGAATCCTGCATGTAACGTACCAGTGTCAACTGAAATGTTATATTGACAAGGCACCATCGGTGGGAGGAATCCTGCATGTAACGTACCAGTGTCAACTGAGATGTTATATTGACAAGGTACCATCGGTGGGAGGAATCCTGCATGTAACGTACCAGTGTCAACTGAGATGTTATATTGACAAGGCACCATCGGTAGGAGGAATCCTGCATGTAACGTACCAGTGTCAACTAAGATGTTATATTGACAAGGCACCATTGGTGGGAGGAATCCTGCATGTAACGTACCAGTGTCAACTAAGATGTTATATTGACAAGGCACCATCGGTGGGCAGAATCCTGCATGTAACGTACCACTGTCAACTAAGATGTTATATTAACAAGGCACCATCAGTGGGAGAAATCCTGGATGTAACGTACCAGTGTCAACTGAGATGTTATATTGACAAGGCACCATTGGTGGGAGGAATCCTGCATGTAAAGTACCAGTGTCAACTGAGATGTTATATTGACATGGCACCATCGGTGGGAGGAATCCTGCATGTAAAGTACCAGTGTCAACTGAAATGTTATATTGACAAGGCACCATCGGTGGGCAGAATCCTGCATGTAACGTACCACTGTCAACTAAGATGTTATATTATGAGGAATCCTGCATGTAACGTACCAGTGTCAACTGAGATGTTATATTGACAAGGCACCATTGGTGGGAGGAATCCTGCATGTAAAGTACCAGTGTCAACTGAGATGTTATATTGACAAGGCACCATCGGTGGGAGGAATCCTGCATGTAACGTACCAGTGTCAACTGAGATGTTATATTGACAAGGCACCATTGGTGGGAGGAATCCTGCATGTAACGTACCAGTGTCAACTGAGATGTTATATTGACAAGGCACCATCGGTGGGAGGAATCCTGCATGTAACGTACCAGTGTCAACTGAGATGTTATATTGACAAGGCACCATTGGTGGGAGGAATCTTGCATGTCATGCGTCGGTGTCAACTAAGATGTTTTATAGCTAAAATGGATAGAATTATCACCAAACCGCCCGCATGTTATCAAACATGAGCGGGCCACTGGAACTTGATAATGCCCTCACATTTCTTGACGACGGGCCATTATCACGCCAGGTCAGTGACATTCGTGTCGATTGCAGGAAATGTTTAAAAACCGATATTGTTGTTTCTTTTTATTTGATAATAAATTTCATCTATCTTAGCTATAATAACGGTAACGCTATTTTTCAGGGCATTTTCATTTGCACAAGCCCTCGGTCTTTTCAACTGCCCTCCTTTGTCGGGCAGTTAATCGAAGACCTCTGGCTTCTGCAAATGATAATGCCCCGAAAAAATAGTGTTACCCTTATAATATTGACAAGGCACCATTGGTGGGAGGAATCCTGCATGTCATGTGTGGGTGTCAACTGAGATGTTATATTGACAAGGCACCATCAGTGGGAGGAATCCTGCATGTAACGTACCAGTGTCAACTGAAATGTTATATTGACAAGGCACCATCAGTGGGAGGAATCCTGCATGTAACGTACCAGTGTCAACTGAAATGTTATATTGACAAGGCACCATCAGTGGGAGGAATCCTGGATGTAACGTACCAATGTGAAAACTAAGATGTTATATTGACAAGGCACCATTGGTGGGAGGAATCCTGCATGTCATGCGTCGGTCTCAACTAATATACTTATGTCGCAGTTGTATAAGAGACTGATTATGGAAATTGCACCATATACTTCTTCATCTGTACCATGGGTTACATACACAATAACAAGAAACATTTTATTAGCAGAATACAACAACAGTATATGCGTAAAAGATATAGTATCTTGACATTTGGAACTGATAATGTTGTATATTCATAAAAAAAATGTGCCTTGATCAACTAGCGATTCTCAAATAACAATGTCCGCAGGATGTCATGAATGGCCGATGTCCGCTTGAATTTTCTCGAGCAGGTAGTGTATTTGATGTTTCATAATTGGCTGGCCCTTGTGCGTCTTCTTACACAACATGAGGTGTTTCTTCTTCCTCTTGCTGTTATACTGACCAACAGCTTTCTTCTGTTCTTCCAGCCTCAAGAGGTTTTCCTGTAATGAACAGAAAGCATTTAAATAGTAGAGACCCAGTAAGACAGGCCACTGGGGCCAAGGTTCATACAGACATGGAACACTCAAATTCAAAGCCTTTTCAAGGCTGTCAACTGTCATTTTCAAGGCTTTTTTGGTTGGGTTTCACACTATTACATAATTCCATAAAAGCAGTACGACCATCACACATTTTCCAACAAGATCTATTTTCATGTCCAACAAAGGACAATAAGTTTGTGATTATTTCTTCATGGTCTTAGTTACACAAATCAATCACTGTGATAAATCTTACTTGAACATCCTTGGTACATATTTTTGCATGCTTTAATACTTTTATTAACAAGTAAATGTCAAGCTATGTTGGTGATTTTCAAAGCTTTTCTGGGTTGACACTAAAAGTCAAGGCTTTTCAAGAGGGACAGTAAAATTCAAGGCCTTTCAAGCCTGTATGAACCCTGGTGACTAACTAAATTCCATGTCAATTTCTCCTATGACTAGTTGGGATACAAGATATCTCACTTGACTGACCACGTCTTGTCGTGATGCAAAGCGGGTAGGCTGTGCTTGCATCATCTCTCAACTCTATCCACCCAATCCTTATATAAAATAGAGGCATTCTGCATTAAAAAAATAAATGCAGAATGCCTCTGGCATACTTTATGAACATATTCTGTGTTCAAAAGACCCCCATTTGTGACAATAAAGCCCCTTGTAACAATAAAAATTCTACCACTTACAACACGGACAATTGTCAAGGGAGGCTATTCATGTTCGGCTTTGAGTTTGAGATCAACAAAGATCAATTATGTATCTCTTTACGAGCTCACAACGGTAACTTCATGTTTTTTATCAAAAGGTGATGATAACAAATAAAATAACTGACTACGCAGCTATCGGCGGGGAAAAAGAAATATGGAAATCTTGATTATTTTTTTTTACATTTTCTCAAAAATTAGAGTCGAAGGGTCCGTAATTCGAAAAATATAAAATGCCTGGCCTAACACACATTTCACCCCACTTCAAACATGGATTTAGATTAAATAATTACCCCAGACACAAGAAATGCCAAATAGGAAACCATTAGGTAATCTGTGTGGTGCCACCACTAATTATACCTGTAATAAATTGAGCATCAAGTGAATGACGACAAAGACACAGGTGTAGGGTTTTCCAGAAAACATGGATGACTACAAGGGAGTAGCAATCATATTATCCACGCAATCCGAATTCCAAAAATACTTTCACTGCTGGGATACTTTTTTAAAATTGTAAATTTTCTAATAAATTGTATATTTGTATACCGGTACTTATCCTATATCACACTATGCATTTCCTATTCTTAGATCCTGATGTGGAAATGTCCTAGAACAAAGTTTCCAGCTTCAAAAACATCAATCACCCCAAGACATTCCACACATCACCAAATCACCACTGAGATCATGGGTCATGCACCACTGCAATCCTGTGCAGCACAATCCCAGCGATCTGATCACCTGACATATCCAGCACCCTCATTCTTATTCTAGAGCGTACAGGCTGGTGTAACTGTGATGCAGGGATGGTTGGGTGGGCATTTAGCGTGTGAGATAGGATAAGTATACAAATATACAATTTATAAGAAAATTTACAAATTTTTAAACTTATACTATCTCACACTATGCATTTATCCCACGGTTGGATGGTGGGGCGCAGATACCCTAGCCTGTAAGGACCTCAACCGTGAGACGTACACGAGGAAGCTAGAACTAATCAGGAAAATTCAAAAGATTTTATGAAGATTAGTGATAAACTCGTGTAAGGGTTGCTTAAAAAAACCCTCTTTGTGCTACCAAGATATTTACATCATGACATCGGGGAATCATGTGTTCCTTGGTTTCACACAGGACACCGTTCCAAGAACGACCGTGTAACCATGAGCCCGGGCGACACCTACTCGGTCACGACTTTACCTAACCCCGGCTAGGAGGAGGTGTTTTGTTTCAGTCCCCGGCGCAGGTTCTACAAGACAGACCTCACACATACGCTCCCAAGGACGTAAGGCGGACCAGCTTGGCATCTCTTTTATCGCTTCGTCACCCTATCAAACTCACGTAGAGATTGAATAAGGTAAGAACGAGAAGAGGAACGATTGACGATACCCATGTATCACACAGGTCTTCAATCAACTACTGAGACATCACATGCACAAAGACAGAGGTGAGCAGGTAGAAGATCGGGACACCATTTAAACAAATGGCCGCACCGGATGGTGGCTTCTGTTGGTGTAGACCCGTTTATCACACAGGTCGTCAATCAACTACTGAGACATCACATGCACAAAGACAGAGGTGAGCAGGTAGAAGATCGGGACACCATTTAAACAAATGGCCGCACCGGATGGTGGCTTCTATTGACGTAGACCGAAGTCCCAACAGACAAGCATATATACCCTCCCTCTAGGAGCTCGTCTGGGAAACCCGATTAAACATAACAATTTGTAATCATGTAAAGACTTTATTGCATGATATACAGGAGACCAAACGCGGTACTTGTAGTACGCTGGGTATCCTCATCTGCGCTGTGAGGCTGCTGTAAGCTGTTGTGCCAACACAAGAGGGCCAAAGTGATAAAGACCCTGGACCGAAGGTAGTGGGAGGCAAAGACCGTATCAGAACGCCAGAAACATCCCTCCATGATTGTCGAGAGTGAGCAATTACTGTGCAGCGCCAAGGTGGAAGCCACTGCCCTTGTCTCATGAGGATTGGAGGCGACCGGGGTTGGTAGTCCCGCAAAGGTGTAGGCCCTGAGGATAATAGAACGCAGCCAAAAGGAGATGGTGGTTCGTGATACCTCTGACGTAGCAGCCGATGAAAACGGGATGAACAGACGCTTGCGAAAGCCACGGGAGGTCTGGGATACCTTCAAGTAGATCTTTAAGGCTCGGACTGGGCAAAGTGAGAGGTCTTCCATGTCATCAGGTCCCAATATTGATGAGAGGGGTGGAAGGGTTGTCCTGGGAGTTGATTTTTAGCAATGAGTCCCAGCGCAATCCCAGGAAGACTTTACCATATGGATGACGTTCAAAATTGACTCTGGCAACGTCTAATGCATGAATCTCACTAATACCAGCTGCCGTAGCCAGTGCGAGGAGGAAGACTGTCTTGAACGTAATGAGTTCGAAAGTCTTCCTTTGAATTTGTTCATACTCGTCCGAAGACGTAGAATGATGTTGAGATCCCATGCTGGAGGTCTGAAACGGGATGATTGGTCCACAAGGCAGTAAGATCGAATCAACGTCTGAAGCTCAGTGACAGTGGAAACCCGGGAGCCAGTGGTCGTGGCAATGACTGAATTAATAGCAGCCAAGTAAGTAGATAAAGTAGAACCTTTCAACTTCCTAGTAGAGCAGAGATGTTGGAGGTATTCAGCTATTATCTGAGGAGACGCAGTAGTAGGAGATGAAATATCCCTAGCTGAGCAGTAACTTTCAAACGCCTTCCACTTGTGGTCGTAGATGTGCGATGCGCCGCTGTAATAGTTCTCGCCACCTTCCGAGAATAACCCTTGGCTACAAGAGATCTCTGGAGATGCGCCAAACGCAAAGATGGAGAGTGTCTGGAGATGGGTGTATTATATCCGAGTACGGTTGTAGGAGGAGGTCTGGTCGCTGAGGAAGAGGATGGTAACCTCGATCTGCGACATTGATGAGGATGGTGAACCAACTTCTCGCTGGCCAAAAGGGCGCCACCAAAAGAAGTAGAAGACGTTTGGTGTTCTTTAGCTTCTGTAGGATCCGAGGAAGGAGGCCTGTCGGAGGGTATGCATAAGCGTGGAGACCTTCCCACGATACGGCTAGGGCATCATGATCCCATGCTAGTGGAACTGGCATGGGAGATATGAATCTCGCCAGCTGATTGTTGAAGCGGGTTGCAAATAAGTCTAGGTCTGGTGTTTGAAAGAGGTGGCAGATCCAGCGGAAGACTTGAGGGTGGAGTCGCCATTCTGTCGGGGATGGTTGATCGCGTCGGGATAATGCATCCGCTATCACATTCTTGATCCCAGGAATGTGTCTGGCCCGAACTTGATACGGCTAGGGCATCGTGATCCCATGCTAGTGGAACTGGCATGGGAGATATGAATCTCGCAAGCTGATTGTTGAAGCGGGTTGCAAATAAGTCTAGGTCTGGTGTTTGAAAGAGGTGGCAGATCCAGCGGAAGACTTGAGGGTGGAGTCGCCATTCTGTCGGGGATGGTTGATCGGGTCGGGATAATGCATCCGCTATCACATTCTTGATCCCAGGAATGTGTCTGGCCTGAACTTGTATGTGAAGGGAGTCTACGAGGGTAAAGAACTGGAGCGCATCCTGAGGAGGGAAACAGACTTCGTCGACCCCATCTTGTTGATGCACTAGACGGCTGCATTGTCTGATTGGATCATGACTGACGACGATCGTAGAAGATCCGCCCAATGAGTGACGGCGAGAAAGACCTCTTTGGATTCGAGATTGTTGATGTATAAATTTTTTTCAGTACTTGACCATCGCCCTGCCGTCTGTAGGTCGTGGAGATGAGCGCCCCAACCGACTGTGGAGACGTCGACGAAGAGGTGGTGTAACGGTGTAAACGGCAGCAAGGAGACTCCGGCGCAGACATTCGACTCCTGAAGCCACCAGTGAAGGTGATCGTGGAGGTTCAGTGGGAGCCGAATCTGGATCTCGCAATCTTCCTTCTGAAGGAAGGGCCGGAAGAAGCACTGTAGAGGGCGTAGGTGTAATTGACCTCGCAAAGTGAGGGCTTGTGCTGACGTTAGAAGTCCGAGGAGTTTTTGCCACTGCCGGAGAAGTAACGGTTGTCTGAGGGCCAATGGTACATGTTTCTGTATCTTTGCCCACCTGTCTGGGGGAACAAACATCTTTCCCACCTGAGTGTCGAAAAGGGCTCCGATGAATTGGAGACGCTGAGTCGGGATCGTCTCTGACTTGGATACATTGATCAACCATCCTAGTTGATGAAGTAGCTTTCTTGTAAATTCCAGATGAGTCACCAGTGTCGCTGAACTGGCATGGGCCTAGATACAGTCGTCTATGAAGGCCTCGAAAACAATGCCTCGGCAATGCAGGTACTGTGTCACCGGTTTCGTGAGACGGGTGAATAACCACGGGGCCGTAGAAATTCCAAACAGGAGCACCATCCACTGGTAGTGCATCCCGTTGAAGACGAAGCGGAGGTATCAACGATGATCTCTGTGAATGGGGACGTGAAGATAGGCGTCCTGAAGGTTGAGACTGATCATGAAGTCGCCTTGACGAATGATTGTGCGTAGTAACACGATTGAGATCATTCTGAAGTGTGGTGGAGGGTCTAGGTAACGTGCGTTGAAAGTCTTCATGTTGAAAATCAACCGCATTTTGTCGCTGTTCTTCTTTGGAACGATGAAGATCGGGGAATAAAACCCTGGAACAAAAGGAACGGGACCAAGACATTCTATTGCATGTTTTGTGATCAACGTACCTATGACCTCTGTGATGGTTGACAGTAGGTGGGCAGCGTAGACCTTTTGCCTTGGATGAGGAGTGACTGGAGGCAGAGTTGTTAACGGGAGTCAAAATCCTTGTTACAAAGGGGTCGCCCAGCAGAGTCCAGTTGGCTGCATAAAAAGAAAGTCTTCTGCCTACAGGAGTGTGGGACAAGGGGACGGCTGGGGACGGAACCACGTCGATTGCTGTAGGCCTCACGCACATCCTTCTGGGCTGGGACGTACTGAGGTTTACGGCGAAGGCGCTGCTGATCTTCAAGCTGCTGTTTGTGGATCTTGAGAAGGTCAACGGACACTTGCAGCTTGGTGTCCTTAGTGACGTCTTGCATGACAGTGTGAATCTCATTGGCGAACAGGAAAGGTGAAGACCAAGGGAGTTGATACAACTGTGCCTTAAAATGGTCCTCCCAAGGGCAATACTGGAGTATACCACGTCAACGTAATGTAGTAAGGGAACCCATACAATGGGATAGGAGGTCCATTACGTCCTGAAACTCGTCATGGACCAAGGTCATGGCCCCACGAATATGAGCTTCTTCTGATGAACGAGCGCGGGCAACTGACATGGCAACAGCTTCTGTAGTAGAGAGTATAGTTGATAGGAAGGGAAGCGTGCGACATATAGTCTGGTCAATATGAGCCAATTCTTTATCCTCCACAATAGCAGAAAGGGTAGAACGCTTGGGAGTGATATTATGGATGTTGCCATCTAGTTCTGGGGTCATAGCGATGGAAGACATACCATGAGTTCCTGTGTCTGTGTAATTAAAGCGAGGAGTCAGTAACTTGTCCCTATGGCAGCGAAAAGTAGCAAAGGCCAAATCCAAATTCTTGCTCATATCTGTGAAAACTTGTTTAGGTGGTAAGGTGAGAGTGTTCGATGAGGGACCAGTGATCACAAAGCCAGGGGGTCGATCCTCCTTAGTAGTACTGCGGGAAAGTCCCAGTTTATCAGCAATCCAAAATAACATGTCTGCTTGATCCACTATATCATAATCACCTTGAGAGGAAGCCGACGAATGTGGATCATCGTATGCAGTAGTAGAAGGCGTAGGTAAGGTAGGAGTCTCGGCCGATGGGAAGCTACGATGGTCTAGCGCCTTAGATACCGCATGTACCAGAGTCTGAAAGTTCGAGGAGGGGAGCGAGGAAGAATCCGTTCAATGATCCCAGTAGGGAGAAATTGCTGATCCTGCGTAGGCATGCAATTCATAGTATGAGAGCGCCGAGGTCGCCGAGGTAAAGGAGAATGGGATCTAGATCCCTGGTAACGTCGATCCCTTGGTGACCGAGGATGAGCCGAAGAATCATAACGATCCGATGAGAGATGACTGTTTTCATTATAGTCCTGATAATCCTGATAATTAGAAGGAGTAGAACGTGGATGAGTCCGTGATCTACGACGACTGTCATCCCTACGATGTTCTCTTGAATGTCTTCTATCTTGAGAGCAGTGACAATCCGATTCACTATGAGAGATTTGCTTATCCCGGGAAAAATGTCGTTCCATGGAACAATGATGATCTTGTAAATGATGACGATCCCTATGTCGGGTAGGTGAAGTCGTAAAAAAAGTTGATTTCACGGCCGATTTCACACTCGGGCGACGTGTCGACGTATCGATGTGTCGATCTGTTGAAGTATCAATACGTTGATGAGCAGAAGAGTGTCGATTCCTAAGGTTTCGATCTGTAGAGGAAGCGAGCTGCTGATCAACTGAGGTACGATCTGGTGAAATATCGACAATATAATCCCACGAAGAGCGGTGACTTTCCACGGAGGAATGACAATTTGTCGATAAAAGTCAAGCACGGCGATTTGGCGAGTCGTCGATCTGTCGATCCCTTGATTGCACGCGATCCAACGAAGGATGACGATATTGTATTGGAAGCTCTGTTGTATGACGGAGAACGCTGGTTTCTCTGCTACGATGACGATCGTCCGGTTCTTGATCATATGAGCTTTCGCCATTGGAAGTCGGGAGAGCTGTAACTGTATCACGATCGCGCGACGAAGAGACGAATCCCGCGCGGGTTGGGGGGAAGGGCACCCCTCTGCTGGATGTTTACACTTTCCCAATGTTTGGTCATGGGAGACTCCCATCATCGAACGAAGGGGGGAAGGCTCAGACGACAGTATGGTCTGGTGGACAGCTGATAGCGGGACGACTGTAGGAGACAGCCAACTGTCACGTGCAGGGGGCGTGGTCTGTTTACAAGCGGGAATGTCAGCATTTAAAAAACGAGTCAGACAGTAAATCTTCCTCCACGGAAAGCGAAGTAACTGTTGCCGAATTAGTAGATTTATTCCTTTTCTTGCAAGACGATGAAGGCATATTCACACGAGATATTACTTGTTGCTTGGGTTTCTTCACAGAGGATAGCCTGTGCTCCTTCGAATCCTTTGATGCTTTTGATCTACGATCAGCTGATCGTTTGGAGCACTTGCGTAGGTAAGTTTTGAAATACGATTCCGATAATTTTGCACACTGTGTACATCATGTTGCAATCTCACATACCCCACGACAATCACAACAACTGAGGTGGGGATCGAGAGGGGAAAACTGACTATGGCAGTCGGAGCAGAGAGGGCGTGATCACTCCATATCGTTTATTAGATTACTTGTGAAAAAAAAAATAACAACAAAATTTCTCTGTTCAAGTGACTTCTTAACATTCAGGCGATAGAATTGAGAATGAGGGTGCTGGATATGTCAGGTGATCAGATCGCTGGGGTCGTGCCACACGGGATTGCAGTGGTGCATGACCCATGATCTCAGTGGTGATTTGGTGATGTGTGGGATGTGTTGGGGTGATTGATGTTTTTGAAGCTGGAAACTTTGTTCTAGGACGTTTCCACATCAGGATCGAAGAATAAGAGGAAATGCATAGTGTGAGATAGGATAAGTTTAAAAATTTAAACTATAACCATTGGGGGTATTTCCAAATAACGACATCTAATGAGCTTCCACCGTACTTTTTGTCTGTTTGATTAGGCTTTAGAAATCAAATAACTTGTGCCTTTTGTCGAAATCTTTATAGATCACGGGTAACCAATCAGTGTTCAAACATGAGTAAAACAGATATTGCCTCAAAGTTTATTTAGCTGTCCTTACAGACGGTAGCTAAGTCTCTTGTCACGCTCAGTCACGCGAGCAAATATATTCATGGCAGCTAGTGAGCCCTTGCGGGCAGTATTAGACAGCTGAGAAGAAGCCAGAGATTGGTGCCCCTTTGATGCTTTTCTTGTTTTGATGTAAATAGCAGTTTTTGCTAGATATCTGGAGAAAGACAATTATAGTAATCCAAGCCACTTCCCTTGATTCTCACTGTTTAAACTGGGATCAACTAGTAACCAGTATATTCATGTAGATAACCTATTTTGGAAAGATGTCTTGGATGTACCAATAAGATTAATTGGTTAATATATAAGATATATTAGTAAACGGGGAACCATTATCTTACAAATCCCAACTTTACAATCGTAAACTGAATCAATAAAGGTATTCATCTGATCAAAGATATTTGTAATAAAGACAGGTTTATACCATCATGACCATTTGATACCCTTAAATTGAGATATCATATTCAGAGAACAATATTAGATTATAACCAGCTTCTGCGCAATATTCCTGAATCTTGGCATCATAAGATTAAAACCTTAAATCAATATCCAAATATTTGACCAGGGTATAAGTAAGAAGTTGGGATGTATTCTCTGCTTTACAAAGTGTTCTAAGGGTCTTTACAACAAGTTTATATGATCCAAAAGTTTCCCCTAACAATAAATAAATGGGAAAAAATAATTGAGGTAAACACCCCCTGGAAAAATATTTTTATGCAATTTAGAAATTGTACAAAAGATACAAACTGGATAACTTTCAGTATAGATTTATTGATATTATTTTCACAGTCAGCACTGCTCAACCTTCCGCAACCTCATACCAGATAAATGAGGAGCCTAAAGACGTTTCCAATCTAATTACACCCTTCATGTTTCGAAAAACACGTCTCATGCAAGGCCAAGCAAAGTAGGGGGTCACTTTGGCAAGGAGACGTTATGGTTTGCACGCTATGAAAATACAAGACTTTCCTCACCTGTTTTTGCTTTTCCTGATTTTCTTTCTTCTCATGAAAACGCTTCTGAGCCTCAGAAAAAATATGCTGTTTACCCTCATGCCTGTCTCGTACTCGGAAGTTCCTGCAAATACCCACATGAACATATAAATGAATGCAAAATAATAACAAGGACATCATAAAAGACATGACAGAACACACCTGAAATCTAACTTCACAAATACTACTTGTACACTTTTGGTGAGAAAGAGTCAGAAAGATAAACGTAGATGCAGAGTAACACTTCTTCTGTAGGAGTAAACTCACGAGGAGTTGAAGCCTCGCTTCATGTTGAGGAATGAGTCAAATTCTGTAAATATTTTTTTAATTTTTAAAAAATAAAAATCATTTTAATACTCCACGTCTCGAAAACACGTCCACAGCAGTGAAACGCAGCAATACTTAAAAACAATGCGATCCAATATAACGTGTAGTTACATCCCTTTACATGCGCACTGCTTTACTGCACATCTCATGTTATGGTTATGGTGGCAATAGGAGCTTGTGTGCTTGTTTTGCCTTTTGCAAATTTAGTCAATGATAAGATGAAATTTACGATAAAACATCATTAGACATGATGATATACAAATTCAGTGTTTTTTGTGTACTGAATGCCAGACAATGTTTCATACGCAGAGGTTAACATGACATGTGTATTTGTCTCATAAAATAAGCCGGTAACAGCAATCAGCTGTTCACCCATTTTCTTCCCTATCTTCCCTATCTATCATGATCTATGGGCGATTTTGTTTAAAACATTCTTAATATCATGGCCAATATCATCATGATCATAACTGAAAAGAAATTTCAATACAGTGATAGGAAGAGAAAAGACTTGTATCTCTAATCATGCTAATGACTAATGTTCCTTTCAAGGTGAGTTCATGGTGAGTTGATGTGATTTGCTTATCAGTTTATTCAAGATTTCGACGAAATTAATGTAAACAAAACTGTATGAAATCTTGGACAAAAGTAGTACAATGGATTTTAAACGGAAGTACAGATACACAGTGAAGACGTTTACAGCCAGATGTGTAAAAAAAGGACAAACTTGCATACTTCAGTACAGATTTGTTGAAATGTTTCTTCCGGTGTTGTGTGCTCACAATAACAATTTCACTTTGTGAAATCAAATCAAAGTTCATTGTATTATGATCACACTAGTAGTCAAACGGTAGTAAAATACTGTATTCTACTCATCAAGGAATACATTTATGTAGGGAGGCCCTTTCCTAGGTAGATTGTACACAACTGTTTATTTGGTTACATACCAGTTTGAACAACCAAAAACAAAAAATGAAATCCCACCTTCCCTCACTATTTTTTCGAAAGCCATTGGCTGAGAACCAATTCTTTTATGTTGTTAAGCCTTATGAAAATATATTTTATTTTACCTGATTGTAAAAGACATTTATGGAGCAATTAAACTCATAAAATGGGTCTGGAGTGTTTAGTTCTAATCCTGCTTATCTCATCCTTCGTTTTCTGTTAACGAGATGACACTTGAACAAATTTGGTAAACCGTGAAGATCCGGGTTAAAATATGTCTTCAGCAACCAATGCTTGTCATAAGAAGCGACAAACAGGGTTTGATGTATCCCAATTGTGTGGATCGATGCTCATGATATCAATCTATTGATGATCTGATCCAGACTTGTTTATTTACCAACCTCCATCATAGAGTTGGAATATTGCGGGGTGTGGCGTTAAACAAACAAACATTTGGTACACATAGAACAAATGACACACTTTGTTCAGTTTATAAAGCTTTTGACTTGCAGAGACAATACCTTTGAGAAAGCGTGTCAACAGAATATCAGCTATATCTGTACTCACGTCTTTATACACAATACTGGGGCACATAGGGAGAAGAAGTATACCTTGTAACCATCATGTGATGAGGAATTGGTCAGTGAAGCAATATGTACAAACTCCAAATAATTCAATGTGAGTGAGTATGGCTTTATGCCGCTTTAAGCAATATTCTAGCAATATCATGGCGGGGTATACCAGATATAGGCTTCACACATTGTACCCATGTCGGGAATGGAACCCGGGTCTTCGGGGTGACGAGTGAACACTTTAACCAGTAGGTTGGATGGTTGGTTGGTTTATTGTTTAAGCCGCACTCAGCAATTTTCCAGCTATATGACAGCGGTCTGTAAATAATCGAGTCTGGACCAGACAATCCAGTGATTGATATCATGAGCATCGATCAACGCAATTGGGATAAATGACATGCATCAACCAAGTCAGCGAGCCTGACCACCCGATCCTGTTAGTCGCCTTTTACGACAAGCATAGGCTACCCTACCACCCCCCAATCATTCAAGACAGAAAAAGTCACCTGTGCTCTTACAATTAAGTGGGTATCTGCAAACTATCTAAAATGACCTGAAGGTAATGATATATTGGTATATTTCACAAACAACAGAAAGGAAAATGCTTTCAATGACCTTGAAAATGAGCTCAAGGACATTATTTTCATGACCTTGAAAATAAGGTCATGGTAACATTATCCACTGGGTCTGCAAATGACATTGATACACCTTAAATCTCACCAAAATTGAACAGAATCAAATACCCCAAAGAAACTTTGGCACCAAACCTAAACTAAATCAATACATACCTTCCAGGCGTAACTCGCTCTCAACAACAAAGGAATGAAGGTACAGTAAACGACGGTTATAACGAACTCAAAGTGACAACTAAGTTTAGTTTGTTATAAATGTAGTTCGTTAAAAGCATGTACACCATGTACACAGCATAACTACAGCAATAGTCAGGACAAACAAGTAAGTTTGTTATAGCCGTCAGTTTGTTATAAGCGTGTTCATTATAAACATAATTTACTGTAATTAAAAACTGGTCAACTGGCAGATCAACAAACCTTGGTTTAGCCATGTCAGCATCAATCACATTCCCCACCACCTCATCAGGTCCACTTGAATTAGTAATATTTCTTTGTGATTCCACATATTTTTGCCTCTTCTGTTTCTTTAAAAGCTTCATGTACTCATAACGCATCTTCTTCTTCCGTTTCTCTGCAAACCCCTCACCTGAAACATTTCAAATTTCCAACCTAACCTTAATCAAATCAAACAACAGTTCCTTGATTGGTATGCAAAGGTGTCAACAAACTTGAAGGCAGATGACAAGACAAAGCAGCATTAGAAACTAACAGTTTTCGTCCACTAGTCCTTATAATGATAACATATAGCAAAACCCTAAAAAATGGCAATTTCCTACTAGTCCTTATGATACCTTTACCATTGGACAGTTTGGCAAGGACTATAGGACTAGTGCCAATTTCTAACCCTGCAAAGGCTGTATACATGTATCTGAGGAGTGTGATGAAACCTATCGGTGCGCGCTGGGTCATGTCGGCCTTTGACGAAGTGTTTCGTGGGTGGACTGCTGGAGTGGTCAATGATGCCTAGTTTGACACGAGTAGGTAGAACTCCTGACCCCAGAGGTGATAACTCACCAGATGTCTTTTGTGTAATTCCTTTTATTTGAATAACATTGTTATATAGTTGTTATATACTGCTGCTCAAATAAACTGTGTTTGTGTATATATTCAAGTTGGTATTTCCGCTATCCAAGTGTGCAGTGAAACCGTCTTATTGTTGATAGTCATTTTCATACATAAATGCGAAGTTTCATTAATGCGAACAAAGACTACTCTCATTTAATTCACGCTCGCGTTAATTTCAAGATTTGCAGTATATGATGACAAAATGATTTTAATACCTTTGACTGGAAAGTGCAGTTGATAATAATCAGATATAATCTGGAATTCAAACTCTCAAACAGCACTGCTCTCAGGAATATTCCAAATGTATCAAGTTGGCCCTTAAACAATCAAGTCTGGACTAGACAAAACAGCGGTTGATATAATGAACAATGCCCAATACCATCCTGATATGATGACATGCAATCAACCAGTCCACTCAGTTCATTTACATGTCAAAAATGTCAAAACCAACATGGAGAAAAAGTCAAAATGGTAAACCAAACATCAATTTATCACATTTGTCTTATCATTTTACATGATGAGTGGAGCACAAGGAATTCCAAACACCACACAAAATACTAGTTGCTTCTAAAATAGAAACACAAAAGCAACAGCCATGGAAAATCAAAGTCAAAATGGCCATATAGAAATTAGTGAGTGAGTGAGTGAGTATGGTTTTACGCCGTTTTTAGCAATATTCAAGCAATATCACGGCGGGAGACACCAGAAATAGGCTTCACACATTGTACCCATGTCGGGAATCGAACCCGGGTCTTCGGCGTGACGAGCGAAACGCTTTAACCACTAGGCTACCCGACCGCCCACACACAACGACGAGCACACAGCAATATTCCAGCTGTAAGACAGTGGTCTGTAAGTAATCGAGGCTAGACCAGACAATCCAGTGATTGATATGAGCATCGATCCATGCAATTGGGATATGATGACATGCATCAACCAAGTCAGCAAGCCTGACCACCCGGTCCCATTGGTCGCTCTTATAACAAGCACAGTCGCCTCTTACGACAAGCATGGGCTGATGAAAATCTATTCTCTATCCGGATCTTCACTGGTTATTGTATACTATTTGAAGGAATATTCCAGCTATATGACATCTCTCTGGAAAAGAGTATGCAGTGACTGTTTGTAGTGAATTGCTTGTTGTTTTACAGGGATGTATTTCACTGTGTGTCGAGGATAGTTGTATGTTTGCAAACCTATATTTCAACGATAATAGTGTCTCATTAACAAATATCTTAGATAGAAATACGAAATCGGGTTCCGAAGTTTCTTATTTTCCGGGTTACGAATTTGTTTATGTAACGTAATTACCGACAGTAATTTATTTTGGTTGGGATACATTTTAGGAGGCTCGGGTGTGTACCCTCACAATTTTGAGTTCACACCTTCTTGTTTACTTCCGTTGAATTGTTTCTGTGGATTTATCCTTTTTTTGGAAGTGTGATATTGTGTATAACTCTTTCCCTTCCCCGCTGGGTGGTGACTGTGATATTTTGCTTCCTTTTTGTCCATATTTGAAGATATCAGACTTCGTAATGGTCCACATTCATCGGTTCACAAAAATCGAATCCACATGTGGAAAATGTTTACTTCCATTAGTGACCTTCACCTTTGCTTTGGTGCGGAATTGCAATTTTAGTATGAAATGTAAACAAAGTATATTTCATATATCGGAGAAATGAAATAATAATATCAACCTCTAATAACGTTGATGGTATGATTTTTGTATTTTTCATAACTCTTATTTTAAGTTTATTTTAATAGTATTAACTCCGTAAAGAAATGACGTCATTTCACAAGACGCCATTTACAGGAGAGGTAAACAAGGGCTCACAAGACTTCATATATTTATAAATACATGTGCCATCTTTCGTCTGTCACTGTAAGCGGTACTTTTATATTGAAGTCATAACTACGTAATCGTGTTGAAAGAGTGTAACGTTTTGTCAAATAGTTATCTTTTGAAAAAAGAGATCTAGGGTAGCTTTGTCGAATAATCACCAAAAACGTCACTGGATGAGGATGAGTGAATATGGATGGCATAGTTTTGTTCGAGCTTAGTTATGTAATCCGGGAAAAGAGGTGTGACATTTAAAAAAAAATATACCGGATACTGATAGCTTTCAACAAGCAGGTAATGTTGAAACTTCAGCAAATAATAAGCAGCAAAGGGTCATTTGATATTGTACAAACAGCTTTGTCAATGAATGATAAATGAAAAGTAGTAAATTAAGTAACCCCATAACTTCAGATAGGTTTCATATTTTTTTACAAGTAACACAACAGTATTACACAGCACCTTTTTGTTCAATTAGATCCTGGTAATCACCATTAAAATTAAATCACTGTTACATGTTCCTTTTGTAAAATATTGTATTATTCGCTATGGTTTCCAAAGATACAGCTGTGATGATGATGGTGAAAAGTAATCATGGTGACTTTGATTCACTCTATGTGTTGAGATTGTCATGCCATAACCCACAGCCTCAAAACATAAGAAATGAAACGTGTATTTTTTCTGTCAATATACACTACCATGTGCCAATTAAATAATCACTTGACAGAAATTTTTATCTTCCTTTGAATCCAATTCAGAGCTTGGACATTCTCTCATACCACATTTGTCATCTTTACTCACAGAAGTCAGATTGTTTGTTCTTCCCAGATAGTTGATAGTTAATTGATTCTAACTTTCTGAAAGGGAATAATGTTTAGATAGGCAAGTTATTAATGACGTGAACAGGATAAAATGTGCTCTGGGAGTAAACACAGTGCAGTGAAGAACCAAATATGGTATTGAAACCATGGCTGTACATGTAAATTAATTACTTTAATGATATATTAAATTTAATGACACTGTTATCATGGTTATGAATTAAGGGTTACATTTTCTGGATGGAACGTATGAAAAACATTGTTTAAGAGGAGTTCTGTGAGTATTCGGTTAGGTGTGGGAAATAGATGGTCAGGGTCACACCAGCCTGATCAGCAGCTGTGCCATGTGAAGCGTGACACATTTCCAGGATCAAGACCAGAGGATATGTTATGGTCCTTTTTCTTAAAGCAACTGTGCTGTAAGGAAAGGACCAGTGAGTCCATTTATCATTTTCAAGGTAAGAATAAAATTATTTCTTTTCCTGACAGTGACACAGCATGTTGCATTTTCCTTCTTTTCCTCGATCATTTAACACAGAACCAAAACGTGCTTTTTCTTCTGTTGGCCTTTGTTACCAATCAGTTATCTCTCCTCGCTCCCTCACTTTCCTTTCCATTGCACAGCGATATACACATGCGCTTGCTTTTGGCAATGATATCATTTTTTGTTGTGCTTATTATGTGTTCAGGCAAACAAGACATCTGAGATAACTTTCTAGGAGGTTCTTACATTATGTTATGTGGGAATGTTTCATCTCACATTATGTAATCATGGCAGTGATAGAATTTTTTCCTTGTGCAAACATTTTCTGTCCACATATCCTGTTGAGAATTCATATTAGACGTGAAAAAAAAACAACAACCCAAAATCTGGGCCTCAAAGAAAACCTGATGGACCATTGCTGATAATATACCTGAAATTGATAAAATTGTATGAAATGGTCGCAAGCTCCGACGTTCATACAGTTTGGCCCTCACTCTATGAAGGTTCATACTCCAATGAACTCACACAAAGTGAAGGTCAATTCTTCAATAATCATATGCAACCATCGATGTCGGATTAACGGGACTTGACTGTATACATAAGCCTAGGATAACAGGAAATACAACTGAAATTGTAAATCACCATTTCATACAATTTCATACAATTTTATCAATTTCAAACATTGTATGAACATCATCGCAAGCTCCGACGTTCATACAGTTTGGCCCTCACTCTATGAAGGTTCATACTCCAATGAACTCACACAAAGTGAAAGTCAATTCTTATAATTTTTTATCACAATTTCTTACCTCAAAGGATGTAGGTCAAGATCTAAACACAATTTTATTTAGTACGTGTGACTTCATGTTTACACTGACAGCCATACAACAACCAGCTATATCGCGGAGTAAAATAGTTCCTCAAAGAGAGAGGTGACATGGGCGTATGGATGCACAACTTGCCTCTTCAGAAACATCTTACGCAGCGCATGTGTTCAAATCATATCCTCATTAGATGAGAAAGGTCTGTAAAGAACTACCTCAGTAAGTCAGTCACAATGACAGCGCGTCGTAATACATTTACATCAAGTACAAGACGTCAAAATGGCCAACACGATAAACGTGACGGGAGAGATTTCCGAAGTTGTTAATGAACCTTTTGCAGTTACATGTGTTAGTCATCATTGATCAACTGGCCGATCATTGAAAGGTGAATAAAGATGCGTCAAACAGACACTAAGGTAACTTCATAGATTGCTGGAGACGGTCAATGTCAGCCTAGGCACGGATCGAGTCGATACTACGATAGTTTAGATGTGCATATCTTCGTTTATTCATTAGGATGGGCCGTAACGAGGATATTCGTGAACAATCATGCAGTCATGCTCTCTGACATTTCTCAATGTATACTGAAACGTTGAGACCAAGAATAAAGGTTCAAAATGATCAGAAAGAACAATTATGCATGTTTAAGTGCTAGGGAATTCCCAGGGGTTTCCCCAGGAATGTGGAAGTAGTCCGTCAGTGTTTACGTCATTTCAAGAACACGGCTTAGTGAAAAACATATGAACGTCAAATTGAGTCGTTCATACACTTATGAACGTCAATGTTGTGGTCATGTGACCGACGGGGCGGTCGGGTAGCCTAGTGGTTAAAGTGTTCGCCCGTCACGCCGAAGACCCGGGTTTGATTCCCGACATGGGTACAATGTGTGAAGCTTATTTCTGGTGTCGTGATATTGCTGGAATAATGCTAAAAGCGGTGTAAAATCAAACTCACTCACTCACTCACTCATGTGACCGACCTCTCGTCCAATGGAAAAGACGCATATCGTGTAAACGTCAAATTAAAAAATTATGTCGGATTAACAAGTATGTCGGATAAACGAAATTTAGTAGTATCAACATTTGTGATCGAAAATCGGATAACTACACGATAGATAAGGATTCAAACACATAATAAAAAATATAAAATAAATATTCATATTGTTATGTTACATTGTTGGCAGAATATGTTTTCTTATCAAGCAACCTCTAAAGTTTAACACAAAACAACTGTTAAGGACTGTATGACCGATTCAAAATACTTTAAAAAGCATAGTCTGGAATGGAAGTCGCACCTTTGAAACTGATACCCAAAGTTTAAGAAAGCTGCTCCAGCCATGTTTTGGGAAAACCTCCATGTATAGACAATCCTGCCACTAGCTGGAGTTGAGGGAGACCAGGGAGAATAAGGATATGACAGGTAATACAGGATTAGTGTAGGGAATGCTTGCTGAGCATAGTGTAAACCTCTGTGGGATAAGCTTTGCAATGTGTTGTGTCAGGATAAAAATTATTTTACGTGAATTTGGATGAAAATTTGTGTAGTTTCCCAGACACAAGTCTCAGGCCAGCCTGTCAGTTCCCTGTTAGGTATCAAGTTACATGCTGACGAGAATGAGAATGCAGTGAGGCAGCAAGGACAAATACTGCTAACTCTGATTGGTAACCAAGGACATTGGGTGGCCCGAGTGTAGAAGAGGCACATTTTGAGTTCTTTGTTATATGTTTTGAAGAGATGGAGGAAATTGCAGTATCATGAATATGTTGTGTCAGGATAAGTATGCTTATATCATGAATAAGTTTATGTTATATACCATACATACCATGCATAATTAATGTTAAGATTAATGTTAACATGGTTAAAAACAAATTAATGTTTATTCATCATTATGGTCATCATGGTCATGGTATGTTGATTTAAATATGTTAAGTTTTCACATAATGTTAGATGTAGCAGCTCTAGTAAATGAATAACCATGATAAATTATAATGTGATCATGGTAATTGCAAAACTTGTAATTAGTTTCTTTTGTCCTTGTTGACAATGATGAACTTTTTATTGCCCAAGTGTAGTTATTATTTTCCTTCCAATTTCAGATTGCTGGCCATCTTCTGATATGGATATGGATTTGTGATACACATTAGAATACTTCCAAATTTTGGAATTAACCTTCTCGACTTCTTGAGACTTCTGTTGTGCTGAACAACTACTTAGATAAAATGACAAGACAAACATGTGTTTTGTTTGATGAGACTACTTTGTGCTTGAATAGTCTGGTGCATCTGACATTTGGATTACAGACAGTCCTGATAATCTAGGTCATGTCGAGGTCAGGGTTGGACTGAGACTGAACTATCACCAAATGTTCACACTGAAGCTTGCCAACATCAAGTGGAGAAGGATCAATGTTTGGTTTTGATTTAAAAAAAAATTAAAAAGGGATTCCGAAAAAAAATATGTTTAAAAAGAATGTGTAATAAGGTTATTTCTTCAGGATCAAAGACAGGATGGCACAAACTGGAGATGATTGCTACTTCTTCTACTACTCTGCATGTACAAAGGTAATAAAAAACATGATAAGTCAACATGCTAGTTGCTTTTTCATCACTGATCATACATGTAGTTTATTTACCATTATGCATAGGGTTGAGTACTGCAAGGATAAGAACATGGTAATATCATGATAATATTGGTAAATGATGTGATCAGTAGTGACTCGTGTACTGCTGTAGGAACTCAGGGTTCATAATAGTGACTGCAACCTGGCAACATGAATACAGATATTACGTACAATAGTGTCTGAACATCTGACTTCAGTTGACTTGTTTCCAGTCTCAGGGCTTATGGAGAGTTGTTAGCAGTTATGATGATTATGATGTGTTTTTCAGGGAGTTAGTTGCCCATTCCGCCATGTGGAGGCTGCTCTAGGATGTGAGGTGATGTGCACCCACTGGCAGGCAGGGAACTGTATAAGGCCGGGATGCAAGTTCAGACATATGGAAATCAAGGTGTGATGCAATGCTTTCTTTGTTTTGTTTCATCTTCTTCTTAACAGGTTAACATGGTTAATATCAGAGGCACATAAGAAATAATAAGTAAAGTAATGATCATCAATGCCCATTAAGTGATTGACATGATTAACCTGGTAACAGTAGAAATAAGTCCCAGCAACTGTTTGATTGGATTAATATCAGTAAGGTAAGGTTGATTAAGGTCAGCTTAAGGTAGGGATTCTCCTGTTAACCTCACAAAAGCCATTTTCTTTGTATATACTAGTAATTACACTGGGGGGAGGGTGTGTGTGTTCAGTGGGGAGTTGCATTCATATTGAGTCACATTTTTGGCTGGGGGCCAGCAGTCGCATTCATCCTGTTCATTTGGAGATACATTCATTTCAAGATTTAGAGTATTTAAGAAATATGTGGGGTGACGTCGGAACTCTTGATAGCTTAAGATGAAAACTTACCACTAACTAAATGGTATATTGTTCGTTGGGTTTCGTTTCAGGTTGACAGAAGCAACATACCATGCTACTGGGAGTCTCAGCCCACAGGATGTACCAAGGCACATTGTGCTTTCAAACATTTCAAGACTAAGGATCTGGACACAGTACTTTCTACATGTTCAACAGGTAATACTGTAAGATGCTTTACGTCTTTCTTAGACCCATTTTTATTTTAACATATACTGGTCCAGTGCTCCATAACCTCAGTGCAAATGATAGCCCAGATATCACAAATATAGTGACATGGGTCAATAACCCCAGCAGTCAGTCATGCATTCCCTCATTTTGTCAAGCGTATTAATATCATGATTATGTTCCCTGAATACTTCCTTGAGAGGCATTTAAAAGTTGGAGTACTACGTAAGGATAAGATTTATGGATGAACAACTTCTTCATTACAATTAGGAGCGACGTTTCAGTGTAGGTTCTAACAAGGTCACTTGTTTGATAACGATGTTAGAACCTACACCGAAATGTCGCTCCAAATTGTAATATAGAAGTGGTTCATCCATAAATCTTATCCTTACTTCCCTGAATACCTTCATTAAATTAGACAACAAATATTTTGAAAAGACAGTTGAGTGGTATACACAGAGTATATTAGCCAGGGTTCGAAATTAACGCTCGCCCGTTAGCCCGTGGCTAGAGTATTTCCTACAGGGCTAAGAACATCCGCAGAACGCTAGCCCGGGTGGCTAACTAACCTTAAAGCAGTGTTGGCTGAAGAGCGCGTTTTTGCGTCTTGGACGCACAAAAATAAGTTTGAACGCACCTGCGTAACATGTGTGGGTCTCATGGACGCAGTGACTGGGGCTATATTAATTTCATATCGAATTGACACTGTTATCGTAAATCAAAGACGTACGTCTTTGCGTAAAGGTATTTGTTGCCAAACAAGACAGCGAAGCATGTTGATTAACACTTCCGTTTGCTAAACCAAACCAGTTTCATTATTCTCTCCCTTTTTATGACAAATACCCAAACCGGTTTCTTGACCTATATCTATTGTCGGTTTTGCATGTATTAATTTTCGGTATGGTCCGTAGCTTTGCTTCAGCCAATCAGGTGCCACATATTAAGCAAGTCGGATATAGTCATAATTAATTTAGCTTGCTGATTGGTCGAAAATATCCTGACCTTGTGTCAAACTAAAAATAGCCAGGCACATCAAGGGTATACTTCAGAACGTGGTAACAGTGACCCGCGAAATCGAGCGACCGTGTAGGATGATACGCTATGTTATTGCGGTAGTTAAATTATAATGGATCGTAGTGGGGCACGCTTACAAACTTATTAAATATGTGATTCACAAAATGTTTGTTGTTCATTGGATTGAGTGATGCTGATTTTCTTTACCGAGTTCGGTAAACAAAGTACCTGTCATTGGTGAATCTTACCGCAGTAAGTAAGGCTGTGTGGATTATATGGTATATCACTTCCTGTTTTGAATTTTGCATACGACCGAGGTTTGGTCAAGGAACTTCGTTTGAACAAATGGGTTCTTTTTCTAATCAATTTTGAATGGAGGAAGGGGTAATTCCACTTCAGAAACATCCCAGGAACTATCATAAAAAAAGTTAACGTGTGTACAAGTAGCAGTGACATACCTCAACGAGTCCTGTATTCGATCATGCGATGAAATATATCGTTCTTAGATTTGCATACGTAAACAGTCGACAACTTGTGTGGATTACGAGATTTATCAATACCGCGATACTGTATATGATAAAGAATGAATGCGAACACTTGAATGTACAATGATGTAAGCATTGTTTTTATTTAGCGGACTCTGAATATTTAGTTATTCTACAACAGACTTATCAAGCTGATAATAATTCAATCTCTTGTGAGTTATATTAAGAATTGCAAAACACATTTTGCCAGGACCGTTATTGGTGTAACTGACATGTTTAAACATTTATAGCACCTGAAACATGTTGACTAGATTTGTCAAGGAAATGCTGGATCCTGAACATACTCTTACTAAAAAAACGTTCGATATGCCACTTATATTTTATGACTCATTGATCATTGTCACAGTTATAACATGAACTCAATACTCAGTACAGTAGCATCAGAACAGCCATTGAACTTAACTGAGTCCATAACTTCAAATCATTGGTAGATCTTGGTAAAAACATTCACAAATGTCTGTCACAATGACCCCTTACCAATGGCTGACCCGTGAACTGCCTTTTCATATACGAAGTTATATATTAACATGGATAATTTTGTGTTATAATATTTATTAATATCAAATGTCCCTTTTAAGAAATTGTTTGTCCCTTAATGTAAACCTCTTGTTCATCTTATTTTGTTTGTACGAGTTCAGTACCTGTCTCAAAAACCTCATGAACTCACAAGAAGTTGAACTTTATTAAACTTAATAGTTATGAAGACATCATTTTCAGACTTTGTTATCTGTTGGGTAGTCTGGGCTAACTGATCTTCTTCAGGGCTAGTAAAGTTCAGCTGCAGTTAGCCCTGTGGACTGGATCACTTTTTCAGGTAATTTCTAACCCTGTTAGCAATCATGATTATGATATTTGTTGCTCATATTTTAAGCCCGAAGAAACTATACATTTTTTTAAACTTATCCTATCTCACACTATGCATGTTCGATCTTAGTGTTGAAACAATCCTAGAACAAAGTTTCCAGGTTAATAAAATACCTCACTTCAACACATCCCATTCACCACTACCCCAACATAGCTTATCCCGCTGCAATCCTGTGCAACCCTACCCCACGCCCGACATTTGCTGCACCCGCATTCTCTTTCTCATGGCGGAAATGTGAGAATGTTCTAGAACACAGAATATATTTTTTTTGTGAGATTAGTCGTATCTGTCTGTGTATTTACAACAGCTACACACATTCCACTTGTGTTATGGAGCCGATATGCTCATGTTACTGAGAATGCAAGCGTGTTCCTTCTGACACCCACACAGTTTGTTGAGACTGCTGTGGATTGTGTACTCTCACCGACCGTCGTCTGCTCTGCCGCCATCTTAATGAGACAGGTTTTAAAGTTTATCTGCGAAAGTGCCAAGGCTTCATTGAACATTGGCCCACCCACTTCCAAGGAACCTAAGCAGACAGTTATCACCGATATCAGGGCGCCAACTTTTGCCGTTCTATGTTGCTACGTACAATGTTTCTACTTCCCTCTGTGCATTGGAGTCTCCCTGTCGACTTTCACAGGAAGACCAGTATGTCAACACATTCTCCTGACTACCTGGGCTCATCGTACAAATTCATCTAACTTTACTGACTGTAACTTCCCGACTTTAGTCCAAGCAATGTCCGCCGATCCCGAGCCGACCATCTTTCACCGGGACAGAGTCAGTATTCGCCTACCAGACTCTTACCGTGCCAAGGTTGCACACGCTTTCCACGTGACGGCTCCTATCGAGCTACCTGCTCTTTCACAGCCTTCCTCGTCGGGGCCCTCTGCAAGACATGCTAATGTCTTGGATGTCCGCAAGATTCTAGAGGTCTATATCAGCAAGACTAAGGATATCTGTAACAGTCTATCTCTCGTTGGATAGTGTCCACTATTTGTATGGCCTATACACACAAAGGGAGAGACCCCCCTAAGGGGCTGAAGGCTCATTCGGTTAGAGCAGTGGCTACGTCCAAAGCGTACGCCGCGGCTCTGCACATTGAGGAGATCTGCTCAGCGGCTATTTGGAGCCGGCCAATCACGTTCATCAAACATTACCAACTCGATAAACACTCTAAGGAGCGTGCTCGGTTCGGTCAAGCAGTACTCCGCACTGGACAGAGCTCTACGTCTCTAGCCGATTGAGCCTTCGTGATCGTAAAGTTCTCTGTCATATTGATTAGTTTGGCTCAACGACGCCTTTTTTTTTATACGAAACTGGCGATCTATGACGTCATCTCTTAACGATCTGCACTCATTTCCAAAAGCACTCGTTCGATACTAAGGGGACCATCTAGCCTGACTAAGGGATTCTCTATAGATTTCGAAGTCCCCGTAAAATTCACTCTTATACGGTGAAGAAAAGGGGGGGGGGGGTGTATTTGAGTTTTCAATATTTACTAAGGGATAATAACCCGCGGAGGGTGTATAATTATCACCTTTGGTTACGACCACGCCCTGTCTTCAGCCCCCGCCTCTCAACGGTGGAGCTATACGATGAGGTTGGTTTTTAAAAATAACGCAACTCTCTTATTAAAACGATGTGTTTATTTACCCTTGTTGCAGACGGATGCCTCTACCTAAGTTATCTTTGGGAGTCTGTCTTTATGCAATAAGTGTCCCAAGGAGGATTTAATCAGAAAGAGAATTTTACAAACTTGTAGAGGTTATGAATTCTCTGATGAAATCCTCCTTGGGGCACGGCCACCCCCCGTCCCACATACCGTCTGCAAGAGGACATATGGAAAGTGATTTGGGTGTGAGTTGCTCCCCTTGGCGTGTGGCACCAAATAGGGTGAGGCCCTGTTTGGGTGGCCGTACATCATACACAAAAAACGTTGTTTTTTTAGTGTGGTAATATTTTATTAGGAACGAAATAGTGACAACATGTCATGTAGATTTTCTGCAGCCTGGAAAATGCAATAAGTGCCCCAAGGAGGATTTCATCAGAGAATTCATAACCTCTACAGGATTGTAAACATTTTGCGCCTACACCAGCCAAGTCGCATGTCCTATACAGAAACACCACTTGGCTCTTTTACAGACAGTTCACAGTGAACTGTCCATTGTGTGGAGCTGGTACCTAGCCTCTGGCATATTACAGGATTCGAGGTTTATTCGCAGGGTGACTTGAATATCACGGGTCAAGATTTCTGACTATATACACCGGAATCAACTAACCTAATGCGAGCAGTGCAGGGTCATTGTACCAGGTTGGTTTGCATGCTTTCTTGTACGTAATGGCTAAGGGCATTGTTTTGACACATCATCCCTCTACTAGAGGGTGATACGATGACAAGTAGCGACTATTTCTAACCTTTTTATGATAAGGTAAAGGATCAAGATCACACATCACTTCAGTTCCTAGCTGAATACCTCCTACACTTCCGTATCAAGTGACACTTGAAGCATAGCACCATTACAATGTAGTTGGTATCGTTTTTCCAGTGTTGGGCCATCCGGGAAATCATGAAATGACGAAAGCCTTGGAACTACAGGCCCTACTTCAGGCTTGAGGATCAGAATGCCAATTTTGAGTGTAGTACTTTGAGGTTTGCGCAGGCCAACCTTCAAGCCCCTCACCACATCCTCATTTTATGACCTCACCAAGAAAACTATATTTCTTGGCATTAGCCACTGCAGCATGGGTGAGAGAATTACATGCAATCAACATTACCCGGGTCCGTTTTTAGCATGGTACATCTCGGGTTGTACTGGGATTTTATAGCAAAAAATCAACTACTAGGCCAACCTAATCGTTCCTTCACTATCCCATCAATTTCTACGTTTGTGGGAGTTGATACAGGTGCATTAAGTAATGCAGGATAAGTAAAATATTTAGTAAATTCTAAATATTTTTTACATTTGTATACTTATCCTGCATTACTACGTCTAATTACCCACCCGTCGCAGACTTGCTACCGCACTTTGGCTTCAGAAACCTCAAAAGACCTTTTTAAGCTTGGGGGACAGGCAGTGATGTGAGGAAGGTGACTTGTCATCAAGATCACATGACAGCGGCGATGGTCCATGCAGAAAGTAAAAGTTGAAAATGGAAACATCTTTTTTTCACCCAAGACCATCGCTGAGTGCTGTCTTTGTTGTTGTAAGGTAAGCAGTGAATGCATTAAGGAGTAATACAGGATAAGAATACAAATGTCAAAAATATTTAGATTTTACTAATTTCTGCATTACAGACATAGCTGCACCTAGGGAAAGCAAGACAGTGTCGTTACATACTGGCCTCCCTGATACTGAAGTGGGGACACTACGGACCACTGCATCTCAGCAGAACAGAGCTAGTCCTAAGATTGAACCAGTTGTTGTCAACCCATTTGAAGATGGTGAGATTAGCAATAGTATTGGTATCTTTTGCCTTTTGGAATCCTTTTCGCCAGGTAGTTTTGACCAATATAGCTTTTGATGGTGGATTGCTTATTTGTTCTACTTAACAATGTTTTAATTGGTTTGAAAACAAAATGATGTTTGTGTTTGATCAAATGCTGTTCATCTTCAGATTCTGATGTGGAGAGCACTTCTGGGTCTCCTCAGAAGAAGGCTCTTCTGCTGAAGAAAAATGTTGTTAGAGTATCAGCCCCAGTAACGAGCAAGGCCTCTGTGAAGGTGACATGCAAACCAGTTGCTGCTTCGGTACTGATGACAAAACCAACAGGGTTGAAGAGGAAGATTAAATTGATTGGTGAGGACGTAACAAATGTCAACTGGAGTGGTGTTACAAACAGAGTAATTTCACATTTTGTGAAATCAGCTGGAATGAATTTCAAATGGTTCTTTGACATCTTTAAGAACATTTTCATGCTGCAATGCCCATTCACTTGACCATGGTGTTTGTTTTGAAATGTAAACATGAATGTCCACTCAGATAATGTTCTTTAATATCACAAATTTGATTTCTTGTGAAACTATATTTTGACAGATGCTGTTTTTTATATCCACAGAGAAAGATGTTACTCCTGATGATAGTGATGGACAAAACGATACAAGGCATTCAGTCTCCGACAGTGGTAACTAGTTTTGTTGTCATCATTAATTGCAGTTGGCTCAAGTAACCCAATGATCTCATGCACCACAGTTTGTTGTATAGAGTTATATGTCTCAAGCTCCTTCCCAGCATGTGATACCTTTGTACCACTCTCGGTAATATCGCTACCACCAGTGTGGGCAGCCATTACAAGAATCTAACCCCAAATATAGTAACGTTTATACTTTTGTTTATGTCTTTGGGAATGCTATCATTGTTCATTTTGAAAAGGTTTATGACTGACCATATTACCCAGATGAATTTAACTTTTTGTTTGCTTGATCAGACTGGTTTGAGATTGCCCCCTTACCATGCTTACATTCTAACTTTACATGATGATTGAAATGAAATAGAAATTTAAATTGACAAAGAAAGAAAATAATTAAGCAAGGGTAAGAGTATTCGGCGTCACGGCAGTCATCACTTGTTTGTAAACATAACGGTCAGTCGGTTGCGAGTTCAACTCCAAGCATGGTTGTAGCCACCTATCACTGTGGAGAGTTTTGACTGGTGGCAGCGATAGTAAAAGGATTGGTCAGATGATCTGTAATGCGATGTCCTCAGATCTTTGTCTAGCCGTAGTGAGAACTTAATACTATTTATTGAGATTGATTTGAATCTGTGACACAACGTCTGATATTATGTTTATTTCGAAACAGTCCACAATCCACTTGTGTCAGGGTTTTATGTGATTGTCAGATTAGCAACAGTTTCCAAAATTAACTTTGAGTAGTTATGAAATTGATGAATATGTTCAAGGAGTACCTGTATGCATAATTTCAAATAGGCTTCTCATAGATATCAGGCACATGTTTTAATAACTTTCTTTATGCTGCTAAAAGCAATGTTTAACAAACTGAACTGACTCCTACTCAGTTGCTATGTTATTACAGCTGGGATCAGCCTACAGCTTTAATATTGGGTTTCGTTGCAGATCTGTTGAAAGAGTCGGCTGTTTCCAGGAGAAATGTCATCATTGATGGGGATTCAGATTCAGGTGACCACTGGTAACACTTCATCTGGTAGAAGTGTGCTTACAACGATTGAGTTTCAGCAACATTATTTGGCTGTTAATTCATGCGTATGACAATCATTAGTATCTATATGTAGTGTAGATATAGTCAAGTGAGCTGATGTTGTGACAATGTAAATTGTGTGGTTGACTGTCAGGTTGTCTGTCTGTCTTTAACTTAGGAATTTTCCTCTGAAACTGAAAGGTCTGTGAAGCTGAACCTTTGCATGAATGACCCCAGGTATTGCATCTTTATTAAGTAAAAAGTGCTCACAAAATTCTGATCTCATTGTAAATATGGCCTCTCTGGCAACAATATTGACATTATCTTTCCACATTACTCAGCCATTCCCGTGTGCATTTTTATGAAATTTGATATGCTCTAAGTATGTAGAAAACATGAGCAATAACATATACTAGTATTTTTATCGCCAACAAAGTTGACAGGATATGAAATGGGTTCCGTGCGCGCGCGCGTGCGTGTGTGCGTGCCAAAATCGTTTCCGGTGCATAACTCAAAAACCATTGAATACTTTCTTACAAAACTTTGCATGTCTACTAGGCACATACTGAACTGGTGCCTTTTGCTATTAAGGAATTTTTTAATTTTATTTTTTACGTTTCCATTGCAACAAGTTGGACTTATGTTCTATAGGGTAGAGTTTGTTTCCGGAGCATAACTCAAAACCCATTCAATACTTTCCAACAAAAACTTTGCATGTTTACCAGACACATACTGGACTGGTGCCTCTTGCTATTTAGGAATTTTTAAAATTTTTATTTTTCACGTTTCCATGGCAATAAGTTGGACTTATATTCTACAGGGGTGGTGTTCGTTTCCAGAGTGTAACTCAAAAACCGTTAAATACTTTCTTACAAAACTTTGCATGTCTACCAGGCACATACTGAACTGGTGCCTTTTGATATATAGCATATAGAAACTTTTATTGTTTATGTTTCCATGACAATAAGTTGGATTTAAGTTTTAATATAGGATTGGTTTACTTAAGTAGTATAAGAAATAAACTGTTAAATATTTCCTTGCCAAACATCGCATGTCTATATATAAAGTGCATACTGAACTAGTGCCATTTGATATTAAGGAGTTTTAGAAATGTTTATTTTAGAATTTCCATTGCAGCTATTTTGACATGGGCTAAGAGAAATGTTGGGTCAGTTACCTGGTTTGGGACCATAACGTGTTAAAATGGGCGGGGGATATAGATGACTTTGTCAACTATACGCTTGTTGTCAATGTTATGAAGTTTGGCATTCATTTCACCTTCACAACTTAATACCAAAGTGAACATGCAGTCATAATAAAATCAAAATCCAAGTAGGTGCAAACTTGGAAAAGCATAGTTTAGACTACAACCACGTTCCATGAAACTATCTGCATATATTGGGAAGCAATGGCAAAATGTTGGTTTTTGCGTGTTGTTGCCATGGACAGGAAACTTGAAATGGAACAGAATTAGGTTACCGTATTCGACGTAATAAGCGCCCCGCTCTAATAAGCGCCCACGGCGATATTTGCTAATATATTGGCAGGTGAACAATCACAATTAGCACCCCTTCCGATTGATCAATGTACACAAGACTTATTTATTCACGTGTAATACGCAATTGTGTGTTATATGCACCCTTAATTATGGGCAATTAAATTCTGGAAACATATATCTGTCGTATATAAACATTTCAGGCTGTCAGCATAAACCACAAAATTTATCCTTTAACGTCTTATAAGAGCCCCCTATTTCTAATTTTGAGAGCGCCCCGCTTATTGCGTCGAATACGGTATGTAATATTTGGAGCATCTTCCTGAGGCAAGGGAGTTAACTGACTATAAAAGTCCAGTTTCCTCTCTTGCCAAACTGGCTGAGATTTTGATCTGTATGGTTTTGATCTTGGTGCTCAAGTAATTTCATGCACTTTGCAAGTAGAGGCCCATTATGTTACAATACAGATCTTCATTACAGATCAGACTTGGTGCCGCCATCCAGCACTTTTTGATAAAGGAGAAATAGTTTGAAAGAAAAGTTTAAGCATGACAATTGTGTCAACTGATGGCAGGCCAATGTTTTGCCAATTTGACAAGTGTGTCAGTTAGCCCTTAGCCTGTCAAAGCCAATGCATCCATTTGTATGAGTAAGGGACCTACCTTCTTAAAACAGGACGGATTTGTCACAGACTATGTAACAAGAATTACATCACCCTGTGACACTGATATTTGCACCTTTACCATCTTATTAATATCTCCTCTGAGTCATCTTCACTAATTTGGCATGCATGTTCCCAATTATGAAGACATCTTATTTTGTGCCGAACCCTGTGATTATAGTTTAACTTTTCTTTTTTAATATAAATATTCAAAAAAAAATTTTTTCCAAATGTTACAGATTAATGTTCTTAAGAACCACTGGACACAGAGAGCTTAAACATTGTGTGAAGGGTAATGACTAAGAAGATACGAGATATCATAAACAATGTTTCAAGACTATGTCTTTTGTTTCTTTTCCTTAGAATCTATGGCACCAATTTTCTTTATCTCACTCTAGATGTCACATGGCACGTCATGGAATTACTTTTTCATAATGCAGGGGAGCTACAGTCTTTTGGCTCAGGTTTTGTACCGCAAGACATCCATTTCAGTGATATGTCATCTTTTTCAGGGAAGACTTTTCATGACATGCTGAAGAAGAGCAGGAGTTCCTCGAATGTGACAGTTAAGAGGTCCCCAGAGAAAAAGCCAGGTATGTATTATAAGACAATCTTCTAATCTTTCTAACTGTGACAATGTTGTGATGTAAACATTCATATGAACAAAGCATGTTGTCAGTTTAGCTGTCACACCTTCAGTAAGGGATAAATGGTGTGATGGGTTTCTTATGCAGTTTTCAGTGTAGAGCTAGGTTACCTGAAGATTTAACTGCAGCGTGAGGTTTTCAAATCTTAAAGTTAGCTACCATGACTAAATAAAACGTGAATTCTTTGATGTTAACAAATATATTGAGTGAAGAGCAATGGGTTGAGTCCAATGTTTTGAGTGGGATGTCAATCAGAATTTACAGAATCACAGACAACAGCTTTTATGACAATATGGCGCTTAACCGTAATACTTCACTCGAACTTATGACCGACAATGAAAACATGTGGCATGGCAACTTTGTAAGCTAACATGAGGTGGGCACCCTAAAGAAAACTCAGCAAGTCTTGCAAAGATTTTGTTCCAAACCGCACGTCACTATTATGATGTCATATCGCTCATTGTGACGCAAAAGATATGACGTCACAGTCGGATATAGTAAAGCGCCAAATAGCAATCTCTCTGTTCTTCCCCAAACTGGAGTTACATTTTCTTTGAAGATTTCTTTTGTGTTTTCTGCACAAAATGTATTGCCACACACCGTTTGAATATTGTAGTAACCGCAACTATGCATTTAGTAGGCTATAATTGTACATATAATTATGTATATATGCCTACCGTCAATAACTGTAAAAGAAATACTATTCTAAAAATATTAGCTTCCACAGTGATGCGGCCGTCAAATCGGCTGTTTCAATCAGAGGGGATTTATTGTGATTTGATACTTCTGATTGACAAATTAAATCGACTTCTTCCAAATTCATGGTAGAATTAAAGTTAGTGTTGACGTTAGTCCTCACCCAAAACACAGTCTATTTGTTAGATGTAGCCATGTGTTTACAGTGAAGCTTAGTGTGAAGAATCGGCTGGGTCGGCCTGACAGGGAGCCCCAGCAAGCAAAACCAGTGAAGATGAGCATCAAGAACCGACTAGGTGGACAAGGGGCGGGGAAGGATGATTCTCCTCCGAGAACAAATGTTCGGAGTCGGCTAGGGTTGAATACACCAACTGCAAACCTTGGAGCGAAGTCATTGACTGATTTACGTACAGAGAAACTACAGATACTCCAACAGTTAGCTGAAGGTAAAATAAGCAGAAGCCATGTAGTACAGATATGGTTCAGGATATACATTTATGTATTTTAATGATTTTTATTTCATGTGACAATAATTGTGCATACAAGTGATGGTCAGAATGCCTCTCAACAATTAGCTTTGAAAGTGACAACCTGTCTTCTTGGAAAGTTTCATGTGACATGTTTGCTGTTCATAACAGTTTCTGCAGAGCCGGAGGATGAAGAAGATGATACATCTGACATCCAGATCAAGTCACTTGAGGAAATAAAGGCAGAAAAGGCCCGTAAGGCTTTTAACACAAGAGGTAGGACTATAACTACAACTATGAATTTGTGTCTTTTACCCAGTAAGGCAAGTTCCAAAATTTATTAAGTGACTCTCTTGGATTATTATGTAAGATCCATTAAGTGAGATAATAGTCTCTAAAGTTGGTAGAGTTACAATATTTGAAGAATGATGATATGTCAAATAACACTTGCTTATATCTATGTAAACCTTAAGCAACAAAGCAAACAAAACATATCTATCAAAGGAAATATTGATCTTACCTTCCTGAAAAGTACAATCAACAATTTAGTTGAGGATAACTTAACTTTTTTTATAACAGTGTTTTGAGAATAAATATTCCTTGTGTTTGAAATGAGGTGATATCATGTGCTTACAATCTATACAACTTGAACTTTCCAGGGCCTGCTTCTGGTGAGCGAGGTTTACAAAAGACAGTAAAATATGTTCTTCCGCCAGCTAAACCTGCACCAAAGAGAAAGATAATTACATACTCTGGTGAGTTGCTGCATTCTATTTTTGATACTTTAGATGACTTCCTGTTTCTCTGGGGGCATAGTAGCCCCAGTTATTTAAGGTGATGCAATTCAGTGTTCTGAGTTGTGTCCCTTTGCCTACCAGGACCTGCTGATCATTATTTCAGATCCTTAATCTGTCAATACCTTACTCAATGAATACTTATACAGCCTACAGATATTCTTTCCTTGTTTAAAGGACTTTCTTACAGATTATCTTTCAGTTTCCTCAGTTGGCATGTAAAACTGTTTAAAAAGGAAGACTAATGAAAGGAATGATATATTGTACTGTCCTGTCTTATCTTCTTATCACCTGCATCAATTTGTGTTTTCTTTCCACATTTCCACGATTAAGCTGACATGTTGTGATACATCTAGAACACGGTACAAAGTGGTAAAAGCCCAACTTATTTCTTTAGTCCACGACTCTTTAAAGCAGACAAGTAAAAAACAAATAGTTACTGTCTATAATTTGTTACTTTGATATTAAATATATGTTACATACATTTAGGACGCCAGTCAATTATTTCTGATCCTGGGATGATGTATTGCAAATTCCTCTTAATTGCATTCAAAACTGCTGAAAACATTCCGACGGGGGAAGGTAGGGCAGGCTTCAGATTTGTTGTATCAGGATAAGTTTACTAATACAATAAATATTTTTATTTATTTAAAGTATTTCTTGTCTTGATACAACCTATTGCAAACTTATCCTTAAGTGTTGCACCACATCCACATCCATGTCTGTCTGTCAACATTTTAGAAAGAATTGATACTGCAGTCACAAAACTAACCACAAATAATCAAACTGAGGACATAATGTTACACAATGATTGATAACAGGAAGCATTCTGTTCATTTTGTCTTGTCACCACGATCTGATGACTATCTGCTTAAAAAATGCATAATGCAAAACAAATAATCAAGGCATCATCTTATACAGTAACCTTCAAAAAAAAGATTATCCAAATGTTATGCAATGATAGCAAATTTTGAGTCTGTAGTCTGTTGAGTTAATGGATAACAAATCAGCTTTGAAATGTGCATGGAAGTTCGATGAGAATGAAAGTGAGGTTTCAAGGGGAAGTAACTCTGATTGTTTGCCTGGTGGAGAGACAGGTTTTGGGTTCTGTGTTAAATAGAGAGAATTTGCAATAGGTTGTACCAGGATAAGTATACCAGGATAAGTATACTAATATAATAAATATTGAAACTTTTTAACTTATTATGCATTACTCCTCAATGCATTTACTGCTGTTTTCTGACGGAAGGACAAACTGTGTGAGATCCAGCTGCTAAAGAAAAGTTGTTCCAACCAGTAACTGGCAGCACCCTCACACAGTCAGCATGTGACACGGAAGCTATGACATCACATAAGAACACCTTACTGCTTTGTCATCTCCACGAAAGGAAGAACTGTTGTATCCCTTGTGGAAATAAAGCCTTTTGTTTTGCTACATTGCATGTTTCTACATTCATCGTTTGCTATTAATATGTCATCCTCTGTTTATGGTTTGTGCCCTTTGTGGTCTTCCCATATGTATTATCGCTCGTTCGTGGCTCTAGTCACAGTAATTTACGGGCATATTGTTGTTCTATCTGCCATTTTGATTTCACCACATGGCCACATACTTTCATGTCTTGCATTTGGATTTCTTTTATTTGGCCTGGGTAATGCATTAATTTTCTTTTACCTCATGTTTGTGTGTTTTAAAGCTTTGCTTTTCACTTCTTTTTGCGTAATTGTTTGCTCACATAAACTTTTAAAAAACAAAAGTTTTTTAGTTACATATATCTCCCGTTTCCCATAGTGTACTTACCCCATCAATATGACTTGGGACCCCCGACCCTCTCTCCCTCGATTGTGCGGTGCCCTGTACTATCACAGCGCAGTGCCGACATTGCTGTCCCTTGTTGCTTTGCTCACCTTTATTGCCTTATTGCCGATCTCATCCCTCCTTTGCTTGGTTTTCATCGACTTGGAAATATATCGCTCTACATAGGCTTGGACTTGTGCTGAGGGCGTTGTGAAGATTCCTGCCTTTTTCATTGGTAAACGAGCACATGGAGAGGGTGATAGTTCTCCTCCCACTGAACTTGCTTCACATGGCTTCTGGTGGACATCGTCTGTATCAGAACTTGCAGAACTGTTCTCGCTCATTTAGCCTTTTTGACAGCTTTGTCATAGGTTACCGGGTACCCACTTCTTGGGAAAATCGTTGCCTGGTCAGGATAAGGCATCTCTAATATCATGGTGTTCATTTTTGCCCCACACCGGCCCTGCCATCCGACGATGACATCCACTGTCAACGTAGATGCTGGCACCAGCACTCCTCTACCTTGACCGAGCGCGAGCATTTCTCAAAGAGGCTCTTCCATGGCACTCCCGGTCTTTACACAGCGCTCCTGTTGCTCCCGCAGGTGTTTTTGACCTAACTCAGGTACACCACTTGTTTGTTTACCACACAGTTCACTGGGGATTGCCTGTGTGTGGAGCTTGCACCTCATTTCCAGCTAAAATGTACGTAATGGTGCAATCACTCAACCAGACGCCTGTCGTAGACCATCCAAATGCAGAGGATGGAAACGGTCGACCTCCCCTATCAACCCGGCAGTCACGAGGCACCACTTTTCATTGCCCCCTCGCTATAAGGACGGGAGCGCTTCTACGGCATTCAGGGGATGGAAAAGATCGCCTTAGTTTGTACGGTATGATCTTTCAGACTACATAATTTTTTATATCTTCAGCCTTGGCTACCAGATACAGCATCGATTTTCTAATTCTTACCACGACCGTTCCATTGACCCCTGATGACTACATGCCTAGTATCATGTTCCCTTCCCTCATCGTTACCTCGATTTAAGAACGGGAACGCATATATACAACGCTCATGGGATGGAAATGATCACATTACTTTGTGCAGTACGACCTTTCTGACCAAAAACTTATATCTATTCAGATACAGTCATTTTTATGACTCTTCCCACGACCGTTCTATCACTCTCCACTGACTATATGCCAGTAATGAGGCACCTCCCTTCATCGTCACCTCAAAATAAGAACAGGAGTGCTTATCTAACACCCAGGGGATAGAACTGGTCACCATAAGTCATATGGTGCGATTTTCCAGAACCACAGTTTTACAGATATCCAGCCTTTTCTTATGGATACAGCTTTGACTTCCCACTAACCGGTTTCGTTGATGCCTTGGCGATTGGTCGAGGAACAGGTTTATTTGGGGTTTGGTATTAGTTCGCAGGCGGACACACTGTTCCACGTATTGTCTCGACAGCACATGATCAGAGACCCCTGCTGTTGACATTTCAACTTTGCAGTCTTGTAGACGACTTCATCTAACATGGCTTCCCACTCTTCAACAGCTACTTCCACTTTGTCAGTGACTAGTGCTCTTGGGGTTGCTCACACCAGCCCATGTTGTAACAGGTTGAGGTTGACTACTCTTGCATCAGATTCAACAGTTCCTTCCGTTGGTGGAAAGTGGCATCGAATGTCTTCGGCGACATCTCATTGACAGCACTACATCCCACGATCCAACTGTTCATTGGAACACATCCACATCCAAACGGCAGGGATGAGATCATCTCCTTTGGCACAGCAACAACCTCTAGCTAAAAGCACTTATCCTGGCCGTTACTCACTCGTAGAGCATTCTACGTCACGCCCATTTGACCATATCGCTTCTTCGAGCACAACATCTTCCGCTTCTTTCACTTGGTGGTCAGCCTTCAAATGTTCCAGGCCCCCCGGAACCTGACACTGATTTTGGTCGTGCCCTGCTGGCCAGTAAGAAACTGGTTTGTTGATTTCCGAGCCCTTGCCAGAGGCAACCCCCAAGAACTTTGGCTAACCTTCTGACATCTCCCGTGTCCTGTTCGAATGTGGTACTCATGGCGCTGTTCATCTTGGGCTGTGCTGGGACTTCATTGCCAAGAATCAACACCCAGGACAGCCTGATAGATCATTCACCATCCCCCTCCCCCCCTTGTCTATCGTTTGGTGTCGACAATGAGGCAGAGCTTTGGTTATGCCCTGTGCGGGCTTTGCGTGTTTTCCTACGACGCCTTTTCTTGCTGGTCTCTCCCTTGATGCAGTCAGAGGTCAGCAATAATGCTATTTCCCTGTGGCTCGTGGTGGTCATCCTACAAGCTTCCGAATTAGACACCACCCCCACAGTTTTGGTCCCTTGGTGGTAAATAACTGGTCATTAATCCCCAACGCCACTGATTCACAGATACCAAGAGCGGGGCCCGTCAAACTCTCCAGTGTTTATCACCCCAGATTAGAGGGCTCTACTACTGCATTCCGCATTTTTGCTCTTAGGTCAGTTCTACTTTTGGGCTACCAGCCTCATTCTATTTCTGCCACCCATTCGGGTTTCCTGATGCATCAACTCTTGTCTCCTTCTGTACTGTTGGATAATGTTCATCACAGAGTAATTTTTACTTTTGTGTACTCATCCTGCATTACGATGTCTAAGTGCCCTCCCTTCGCTACACTACCTCCCCACGATGTTTCAGATGTTGTGTTTGAAGCAGTAAGGTTCTTATGTGATGTCATAGCTTCCGCGTCACATGCTGACTGTGAGGGTGCTGCCAGTTACTAGTTGGAACACAGTTTGTCTTTCTGTCAGAAAACAGCAGTAAATGCATTAAGGAGTAATGCAGGATAAGTATACAATTCAAATATAAAAATTATTTAGATTTTACTAAATTTACATAAAACATTTTATCACAGCCATGTTTTGCTGCAGATGAAATGTTTGATGATACTGATAAGGAAACCCCTGAGATGGCAGAACCAGTAGCAGTGTTGAAGGTGAAAACTCTGACGGACATTAGGGCAGAGAAGGCAAAGAAACAACCTTCTGTCAAGAAGGAACGGCCGATATACATGCCCCCTGCGATGAAAAACACTGGTAAGATATAACTTTCTTAATGTAGGGACTGCAAAAAATGGTTTCTGAAGGTATTTGTAGAAGAATGAATTTTGATAAATTCATGCATTATTATCCCCCGCCATGAAGTGGAAGGGGGATATAGGAATGGGTGCCGTCCGTCCGTCCTTCCGTCTGTCCGTCACAATTCCTTTCCGGAGCAGAACACAAAAACCGTGAGAGATATCTTAACCAAACATGGCACATAGATAGGTCTTGTGGTGAACTGGTGCCTTTTGATAGTTTGGGATTTTTTAACACATTATTTTTCGAGTTTCCATGGCAACGACTTTGACTTAAACCAAAAATGGTGGTAATCCTTGTTTCCGGAGCAGATCTTGAAAACCGTAAAATATTTCTTCACCAAACTTGGCACATAGATAGGTCTAGTGGTGAACTGGTGCCTTTTCATAGTTTGGGATTTTTTACAAAATTATTTTTCGAGTTTCCATGGCAACGACTTTGACTTAGGCTCAAAATGGCGGTAGTCCTCGTTTCCGGAGCAGATCTTGAAAACCATGCCCTTTGATAGTTTTGGAGTTTTTACGAATGTTTCCTTAGCAAGAGCATAACTCAGAAACCGTTTACATATTCTACAAAAACATCTACACAGGGTTGCCTGAGAACCGTTACCATGATAACCTAATTGACACTTGACAAAGGGGCTTTGACGAGGTATATGGTGAATTGTTTTGAAAACACAAGTGGCACCCGAACCAGCCTACTTCATCACAGTGCATGGTGGTAACATGAACAGTGGCACCTGAACCAGGCTACTTCCTCACAGTGGGTACCTGTAACATGAACGGGGACACCCGAACCAGCCTATTTCCTCTCAGTGCCGTGATGCAAGAAGCGAGGTCCTGTCAATTTGAAACATGCAGTACCAATACTGCTGTAGCAGCCTTGTTCTCTGTGTCAGACAATGCTAAATCTGCCATGGTTGAAAGAAAACAGTATCCAGGAACTTTAGCATGGGCCCTCACAATCCACAAGTCACAAGGTAGCACCTATGAGCAGATGATTTGGGAACATGACAATTGCACAAGGAAGTAAATTTAAAGCCAAGCCTGGTCAAGTGTATACGATGCTCAGTAGGGTCAAAACAAGGAAAGGCCTAAAGCTTGTAGGTTTTGATGAACAAAAAAGCATTGGATGATATGACTAGATTGTGGAATGAATGACTGTTCACCTTGACACACCCTGTAGAGAACATTCATGGTGATGGACTCAAGGTAGCTCACTTGAATGTTCGATCCCTCAGTGCTCATTTCGAAGATGTGAAGAAGGACAAGTTTGTTGGTGTGCTTGATGTTTTGTGTTTCACAGAAACACACATCAATGATTACAGTGAAAGAGACCTGCCAGAATATAAAGTCTATCCAGGAGACACTACACATGGTATTGCTGTGTATGTTTCAACAAGTTTCAAGAACAGTGTCCAGCTATGTGATGTAATGTCATTTCGCAGTATTGAATACATTTCCTTTCTTGTTGGCAAGTTCTGCATTTCTTGTGTGTATGTTCCTCCAAAAGTGTCATGGTTGTCGCATTCACTTTCTCATTTCATGCAGAAACTTCAGGATCTCTCCAAGCAGCATGAATGTGAACATGCCCTAGTTACTGGGGATTTCAACTGTGAACTGAGTGAAAAACTCAAACTTGAAGATTTCTTTCATGTGCGAAAAATGACTCAACTCATTCACTCTTCAACTCACTGTCTAGGAGCTACACTGGACTTGTTGTTTACTGATCATGCCAGTGCTGTAGCATTCCAGACTCCAGTCTACTACTCAGATCATCAGATGATTGGTGCTGTACTTCTCAGTACACCTCATGGTGCCCCTGCTCTCAATGATCTCTAAGTAAAGCATGAACTCCCTTACTTCTTTGATTATTGTTGAAGTTATAACACATCTCATTACAAATACAACTGTAAATGTATCTTAAACCTACTCAACTGTATAAACACTGCATTGCATCCTATCCTGTATATATTCTTGTCAACCATATTCTGTACTTCACTTGCTTGATAACAGTGTTAGAACCTACACCGAAATGTCGCTCCAAATTGTTATAAGGAACTTGTTTGTCCATATATCTCATCTTTACTCATAACAAATACAGTTACGTATTCTAACATAAACTGCAGATGGCAAAACAACACCAGTAATAACTTTTTTAGTGCTGCAATTAGGCCATTTACAAAACGGCCAGTGAACATAGTTCACAGGAGCTAATGCATTGCACACAACCCGACATGTCATATTGGCGGGGGATATGAGTATTTCATGCTTGTTTTTATTAGTGCTTCCACTGTCTATTGTACCATATGGTTGTAAAAGCCTGCTGACAGTGGTATTCAGGATGTAGTGTTCACCTTGACCAGTAGCAGAGACATTGGTAAGCACAACATTTGAATCTGAAATTGTCAGTTATCTTGTGGTAGGGAAAATAGTCTGTTATTACTCTCCTGCTGAGAAAGTATGATTTTCCTATATTGTTCTAAATCCCAAACACTTCAGCCGAACACACCCCTCAACTGGAAGTTAGCATTATTTTTAGATTATCGTAATATGGTATGTATTTGTACCTGATAAGCATGATAAGACTACCTATTTACAATAAGATTTTTTCCTTTTGCAGTTAAGACTCTACCAGTGAAGCAGCGTATATCAGATATTCCAAAGCCTGTAACAAAAGAAATAGCAATTTCTGAGGTATGTACAAACTAACTCGAAGTAGCATATTCTGAAAGTAGTGCAGTGTTATGTCAGGTAAGAAACTCATGCATTTTACATTCTTCTGTTTCTTTTTAAGTGGAATGTTTCACAAAACTTTATTGTAATGTTCAGTATAAATGGAAATCAGACATCAGACATTTATGTATCAATATGTATGTTCTTTAAGTACCTTGTGATGTGATTATAGGTAAAACCGACCAGCGATGTAAAGGTGAAGACTTTCTCAGAAATAATGGCAGAAAAGCGACGCAGACAACAGGAATTACGTGCAAAGTTTGAACAAGAATACAAGCCTGAAAGTCCTAAGCCCAAAGTGTCCTTTACACCTGTTGTGTTTGACATTGAACAAGAAGGTAATGCTTCCTCTCAATGACTATTGTACATGTGCCTTTGTGGACATTGCCCCATTATAGTATGCATAACAGTTTCAATAGCTGCTATTAGTTGTATATGTTGTATGCATAAATTATGTGAATTTCAAACCTGCCTCTTGGAATACGACAACTGCAGAGTTACTTCAGTTTGTTTGAATAGTGATGGAGGAAAATGGCTGACTTTAAGATTTTCAGCAATACTTTATTCATTTCTATTGCATTGATTAATATAATTATGAAGCCTTAACGTTTGTTTTCTACTATCACGATAATATTGCAGTAGTGTCGGCAACTATAGCAGTACAATTGCAATGGTGAAAATAGCCCCACTAGACATCCCAAGTGAAAAGCTATCATGGCTGTTGCCTCAAACTTCAATGGCAAACTATCTGAATATTGGCTCCAATGTCTTGTATCAAATTATTTTCGTTTATGATGAATTGCATTTTAAGTCTATATTTTGAAGTAATTTGTATCAAAATGTTAATCATGAGTCCTATTTCCTTTTCAGATAAACCTCAAATAGAAAATACAGTTTGTGTAAGACCAAGTGCCAAACAAACTCTTTCAGTTATGCCAATGAAAAATAGCAATACACGATCAAAAGAGAATGTGTCAGTGAACAATAGCAGTGAGCAGAGGAGTGGTGGAAATGGTCGTCTGTTTGAGGGCCATGTGTTAAGTTATAATGTGTGTGACAAAGTGAAGGACAGAGAGAAGAGTGTTGACAGTGAGCAGAACGAGACTGAAGAGTCAACTCCAGATGTCTCCCTTCCAAAGAGAAGAACATCCAGTCAGGGTTCAGACTTGTAGGTGTACTTGAAGTACTTTACATGGTGCTACGGCTAGTTTACTTCAAACTGACACTTGTCACATTATATGTGCATTTTAGCCCTTTGCTTGGGGAACTGAAAATGCCATTTTTGCCCTTAATGTTTTATATAAGAATTCATTATAATTTACTGAAATGACTTTGTTAATTGGCCCTTGTCCCACCAACATCAACGCAACGGAGAGCTCAAACGGCACAAAATCAGTAAGATCATATACATGTAGATGCAGATTTTGACCATGCCCAGCCTGTGTGTAAGATTAACATTACACCAAAGCAGGTGAATGAAGTGTTGTACTGCAAGGTGTCACTGGGTTTAATTTACCCCTGAAGATCTGGGTAGAGAATAGGTCTTCAGCAACACATGCTTGTCGTTAGAGGTGACTGATGGGATCGGGTGATCAGGCTGTCTGACTTGGTTGATTCATGTCATATCCTAATTGCGTAGATTGATGCTCATGATGTCCATCACTGGATTGTCTGGTCCAGACAGCCCTCCGTCATTTAGCTGTAATATTGCTGGCTGTGGCGTAAAACAACAAACAAACAAACAAGCTGGGTTTAATATGATACTGGTATCATGATTATGACGGTGTGTTTATGTATATTTGCAGGCCTTCAAAGAAGAAATCAAAGCAGTCGGTCAGCCTTGCTGAAGATGATGATGACTTTTTCTTTGGTGAAGATTTGGATGAATTTGATGATGGAGGGAAATTAGATGAGGGAGATATATTGCAGGACATTGATGATCTGTTGGCATAGTTTGCTATTCTGTCTGCATAATGACTCTCTACCTTTTAAGATAAATACATTTAGATTCTGATCTGATTTAACAGTAGTATAAACAAAGCAATGAATGTTGGTGGAAAAAATGGTAGTTTGTAACAGTAAAATGATTTACATGGTTGAGTTACAGTACTTGTTATTTAGGAAGGATTTTAAGTAGTTTCATGGTCCAAATTAAAGTTCATTTTATTGGTAATAAGTTTGCAGATATTTGTTATGGGGTTTTGTTTCTTTGGAATTTTACCCCAAAGTTGTGGTTTTAATTTGCCCTCACAGTCAGTCGAGTTCATTGTTACCCATTGACATTACCTTCATCAGTTAAATGTCACTGCCAGTGAAACTTTGTTTTGTTTGTTTATATTTCATACTGTATGCCATATACATGATTTTCAGCAAAGAACAACTATCTAAAGTTTGAGATTTTGTCGTGTCATCAAAAAGAATTAAGATCTCATTGATTATATACAAACATATATAATGTATCTGCTATTGTTTGTACTCATTATGTTCCAACCCAGTTTCCTTGCAAGTTCTACACTGGTACGTGCAGTATTAAGACATGGGAGAAACTGTTTCACACACATACTAGCTGTTAAGTTTGAATTAGTTATTCTTGTCAAGAGAAGAATGTTCTGACACCTCATCTTCTTTTGGCTGTTGGTGCCAATGCATGCATAAGAAGGATTTATGTCTTCGTTAAATGTACATGTATTCACAGTGCAATGTCCTTGGTATATCTTGTTTAATGCAGTATTGCCTCTGTAAGTGCTATTTTGTGATATATGTGTATTTGTGGACCAATATATTTTGAGGAGGGAGAATTTGGATTTGAAAATGAAGGCCTAGACTGGTATTCAGAGTATGAAAGATTTTATTACTGACAAGATGTGACATATGTACATATTGAAATAAAATATTTGTATAAGATGTATGTTCTTTCCTTCATCTCATCGGTTACTGTCCAGCCAGCCAAGCTCTATTTATACTTTAAAGAAAGTCAGATAGTGTTTCCTCTTGTGCTTTTGAGCAGAGTTTGGAATCAGCATTATTTTCTTATGTATAGGAGCTCAATTATTTTTTGCAACTTACAAGAGCTTAATATATTTTTTTTAAATAAATAAAATTATCCCAGGCATCCGTCGATCTTGTGAGATCACAAATCTGCGCCTAGGTTGAAGGTGAGTCAGCTGGCAGTTTTGTGGCTCCTGTTGTGGCTGTACAGGTCTACTCGAGAATGACAGTTCCTGTTGCTGCAGCTGTTCTTCCACCGAGTCTGTTTGTCCTCGGGGCCTCACCTGTCCAGACTGCTGAACTCCTTCCTCCATCGACTGCGGTTGGTGGGGCATTCCTCGTACCTCTTAAATTCCATGTATAGCGCCCATAATTCCTGCTTCAGTTGTTTGAAGCAGAGGTGCCAAGCTAGCAAAGTCAGCAGATTTGGAGAAGGCTGAAGAGACTCGCGATCAGGGTGGCTGAGAGAACTTCTATGTTTGTGAATCGGTCTCTCCAGGTGATCCCGAGGATGCAACTCAGGCTGAGCATGGGGAAGGTGTTCAGAGTATTTTCTTTTATTAGTTATCGAAGAAGATTCCAAACAGGGTGGGGGCAAGGACACAGGGCCAAACAGCATTATCCATGGTTCGAGAGGGGCGCTAACTCTGTTTGCCTAATCGAAAGTTCGAGGTGGGCCCACATTCTAAACTAAACGCACTTGTTGAGAATATGTACTATGTAAACAAACTGCATTACGAACTGCTATTTTGGCTACTTAAAATAAGTATTATGGCCAAATTGGATTAGAATGTACAAATACCGCAAAACTAGGTCGTGGCGTCATTAATATTCATGAGTTATTCCTTTTATGGAATAAGTTCCCGGAAAAGTTTTTGGTAATAGGCTTGTATCATGTCCGAGTTCAATTCAAGTGTAGACATATTTTCAGGCTTATATCGCCACTGACACTTATGATTAGATTGATGTGTTATACTTGAAAAAGTGGAATGAGTGGTATTGCTTCTGTAAGTTTAATTTGAAGTAATTCTAAGTTTCTTGTTTTCTTTTTTGCAAAACTATTATGGAATGAGTGTGGTCAGCTATGATGACGTTATTCAAACAAGACCTTTTGTGCCTTTCGTGGAATTAACGTCACACTAAATAATTTATAAAGACATTTCCCATCAATATTACAAAATGAGAATAATATATATTGCTACATACCCATGCAAAATAATTACAAATAATAACCCAATGAAGCCCAGTGATTTACAAATGGGGGCCCACCTGTTTCGATCACTAAATGACGGAAGAAGTTAGCCCACATTTTAGTAAATGGTTATAAGTAAGCCAACCTAATGAAGCTTAGCGATTTATAAATGTGGTCCCTCCTGTTGCAATCACAATGATGGAAAAAATGGGCCCACCTTTAGAAATTGATAATCAGCACTAATTACGCAACCTAATGAAGCTAGGTGATATATAAATGTGGGCCCACTTGTTTTGATAACGATATATGATGGGGGGAAGTGGGCCCACATTTTAGAAAATGGATATCAGCACTAAACAAATCTAAGAGGATGTACGGATGGAAATATAAATATAAAATGCATTCAAACATTTAATTAAGAATATGTTTTACCTTACGGATAAGATGGCCATTTAATAGCTAGATCAACAACGTACATTGTCTACAACTCTGAGTGTGGACAGATGTGGCCTAACAGTGTGGAGGGCATGATGGGGTGTAGGAAACTACCTGGAAGCACGGAGGACAAGTGATGAACATAACACGTTAATTACAAACAGTTACAAGACATTTAGCTGTCATTAATGGCCATCTGTCTGATTGTAATACCCTGTTCAGTACATGTAAAACACTATGGATTGTACAAGTGTTATTGTTTGGTCACAATGGCACTTAGAATATATGATACATGCAGAAAAGTCTATTGTTTATGTTTGGTTTTGATTTAAAAAACATTGAAATTGAAGTATATGTGTAATGCAAATATGTATATAATTATTAGGTTGGTGGGAGTGATGCGCTTTGTATTGTCATCAACAGTGTGGTCACACTGTTCAAGATGTCTCTCGATGTGTGTGGTTTATCCAAGTACACAGTAGTATTTATCCAACCACTATATGCAAGTACATATACATTGGACAAGACAACAGACCAGTGAAGATGCGGGTTCAAATAGGTCTTCAGCACCCCATGCTTGTTGTAAGAGGCAACTAACGGGATCGGGTGGTCAGTCTCTCTGACTTGGTTGATGCATGTCAACGTATCCCAATTGCGTAGATCAATGCTCATAATATCAAACACTGGATTGTCTGGTCATGACTTGATTTTTTACAGACTGCCATCATATAGCTAGAATATTGCTGAGTGCGGTGTTAAACAAAAAACAAGAGGCACAATGCAAGTTGATAACTAAAATATTCATGTAGACAACTATATAATTATTTACAAAGAACCTGATTATGGCAGAGTATTATACAAACTGGTGTACATTTTTCTAACATTACCTGCAATTCCTTCACAGTGTAGATTAGCAATATATTTAGATTTTAGCCTGATACACTTGTTTTTTTTACATGGTCCGCCATGTGTTGATGGCTTGTCATTTGCAGTATATGTAGGGACTAACATGTCAAATAGGTTTTTAACATTTAAGGATGAGAGAAATCATTTCATGAAAATGCTCACCTGAGTCATCCAAAAAGTGTCAATTGTCACAATAAGCAAGTCATAGAAAGATGTACACAACAAACACACATTTATTTACAATATATGTACATGTAGATATATATCCTGCAACAAAGGCCTCTACATATTGCTGGACACAGATCACTGAAAGTATGCCTGTCTTCAAGACATATTTACATCTTGTACAAAACAATGTCATTGTGTCACATGTTTACAATATAATAACTCTGAGCATTGATTATCTGTTATAATCAGGAATTGATCATTGTTAACATGTAGTGACAATACCAATACCAGATATCTGTATTCACATGAAGTTTTGCAAAAACGCACATCATCACACAAAAACAGATGGATCATACTTATACATGTATAAGACAACATTCTTGAATTGAAATGTGATTAAAATATTTGAGGAACATTTTGCTATCATTTCCGACATTTCTCAACTTCACCAGACACTGATGTTTAATGACCTCATTTGCAACAAAACAATTCAAATTGCCAATGTTAGAATATTCAACTTAATCATAATACAGCTTAAGATAAGCCAGCTTTCGATGATATTTCTTCTCTTCTTTCGTGCTGAGTAACTGAAAGAAAAATGATGAGTAAGCAAATGAACCACAGAGAGAAAATGTGGAAAGGTGAAGATACCTCAGAAGACTCCAGGGCACATATAAGCTTTTAAAACTTTAGAAAAGGATATGTCAAGTTGAGTGACTGCTTGGACATTTTGTCACGCAAACAGTATCCAATACTGTCATGAAACTGACAGTTTCCCCTTCTTTTTAACATGTTTCAAGTGAAAATATTTCCGTAAGTTGTACTCTAGGTTCTCAGTACCCCTATCAAAATTTGAGAACTATATGTGTGTTTACAAAGATGAGCAATATCAGGGAACTGTTAAAAAAGCATCATTCAAGTAACTCCCCTTTCATTACAGTTGTATACAACATGGCTGGGTCTCTAGGAGGTACCCTAAAACAGGTGCCAGATGCAGATACCTTATATTAGAGTCAACATGTTGGATTAATTTATTTTTTTTGAAGATGTGTCAACAATTGACAGCATACATGTATTCTGTATATAAAAATGATCTGATTTGACTCTTGGAACATCTATAATGATGCTAAGGTGCAGGTTATTCTAGTTCTTTAAACATAGTACTTTAGACATAGTTTATCAAATGTTTTGTACACTTGATACTTTTCTAAGACCCTCTTTTAAGAAGTAACATAGCATTCACCTTATCTGTGTTTTTCTGTATGGTGCTTGTCACCTTGACTGCAGGCAACATGATGGGCGTTCCACCAAATGACTGGTGCCACTGAACCATTCTGTTCTTAGGGCTCTGGTGCTCGTATGTGCCTGGCCTGCAAAGAGAAGTACACAGCCTCCTGATACATCATTCATATATTGCTCAAGCCCTGGAAAGAATATCAGCTAAAACCATCTACATGGTTTATCAGGAATTCTAACATGACTTTAAAGTGCTTGGTTCCAAATTAATACACATGACCTACAGGATCACAGAAATCTGAGGAATAAGACAATTAATGTCCTGCATGGAATATAGGTTCATTATTGTTTGTAAGACATGTTTACAGGTAAAATAACATGACATTCAACATATTTATGTTGGAGTACATGTAATGAAACAGCACTATAGTTCACAGAGAAGTGAAGCAGCTGTCACTATCTTCAGTGTCAGCATTGATCCATATATATTTTTTTAGACAAAGTGACAAATATAACACTTACAAATAAATCTGTCACAAGAACATATAAACCTTTAGAGGAGGACTAGGTCAGGAGAAGATTAATTTTGCATTAGTGCATGACATAAGTTTCCAATTATTTCAAAGAGTGAGTAAGTGAGTGAGTATGGTTTTATGCTGCTTTTAGCAATATTCCAGCAATAGCACGGCGGGGGACACCAGAAATGGGCTTCACACATTGTACCCACGTAGGGAATTGTACTTGGGTCTTCGACGTGACGAGCGAATGCTTTAACCACTATCCAACCGCCCCCATTTCAAAGAAGATCTGGTTTAAGGGAACCCCTTCCCTACATTGACAGTGACTGCTACCGACCCAGGTAAAACCTCACTGATGTCCCTCCTGTACAGGGGGAACCGCTTCCCTACATTGACAGCGACTGCTACCTACCCAGGGAGAACCTCACTGATGTCCCTCCTGTACACGGGGAACCTCTCCCCCTACATTGACAGTGACTGCTACCTACCCAGGGAGAACCTCACTGATGTCCCTCCTGTACACGGGGAACCTCTCCCCCTACATTGACAGTGACTGCTACCTACCCAGGGAGAACCTCACTGATGTCCCTCCTGTACATGGGGAACCTCTCCCCCTACATTGACAGTGACTGCTACCTACCCAGGGAGAACCTCACTGATGTCCCTCCTGTACACGGGGGGAACCTCTCCCCCTACAATGACAGTGACTGCTACCTACCCAGGGAGAACCTCACTGATGTCCCTCCTGTACACGGGGAACCTCTCCCCCTACATTGACAGTGACTGCTACCTACCCAGGGAGAACCTCACTGATGTCCCTCCTGTACAGGGGGAACCCCTTCCCTACATTGACAGTAACTGCTACCTACCCAGGGAGAACCTCACTGATGTCCCTCCTGTACACGGGGAACCTCTCCCCCTACATTGACAGTGACTGCTACCTACCCAGGGAGAACCTCACTGATGTCCCTCCTGTACAGGGGGAACCCCTTCCCTACATTGACAGTGACTGCTACTTACCCAGGTAAAACCTCACTGATGTCCCTCCTGTACTGGGGGAACCCCTTCCCTACATTGACAGCGACTGCTACCTACCCAGGGAGAACCTCACTGATGTCCCTCCTGTACACGGGGAACCTCTCCCCCTACATTGACAGTGACTGCTACCTACCCAGGGAGAACCTCACTGATGTCCCTCCTGTACACGGGGAACCTCTCTGCCCCTACTTCAAATGGTTTCTTAGATGCCGAGAAGGTTCGGGGTTCTGTGCAGGTTGTCTGGTAGACCAAAGGGCTAGGTGTCTGAAACTAGTTACATTAAAGGAAGGTTTTGTTAAGTCAGATAGATACATGGTATAATTTTGTCATTTGTCTTAACTATGTTATACCATTGCAACAGGTTTACTTCATAAAAGGATCAGCAAAATGGACCTAGGACAAATAGAGAAGATTTTTTTCTCAAGATTATAATTTATTCAGATTGTAACCTTGTCACATCAATATAACTTGATACAGATACAAAGTCCATATGATGTTGTAAGACAACCCTACATTTAATGTAATGTAAACCAATATATTCAACTATCATTTGCATCATGTAAATTATGTGACTGTGATTATGATTACCTTTGCATCTGATGGTATCCTGTTTGACGTCCTAGCTCCGAGAGTGTAGCCCTTTTCACTGGTAATCTTGTTCTTCACACCATACCAGAAGTTTGTTTTCTGAAATGGGTATGAGATGATGCTACAAGTGGCACTAATAATATTATTCATAACAAATATTACTGGGTATTGGCTGAGAATTGACATAGGCCGCTTCCCAACTTGATTCTCATCTTTCTCTGATTCTGAGTGGAGTTTGACACTGCCTTGAAGAGTATTTACGATACTAAAGCTTTGTTTCACAAAGTGACCAAAGTGACAACACGATCGTGACTCCAATACTTCGACATAACCTTACAAGTATCTTAGCACTTGGTGGCTATGAAGAATGAGACCCAGATGAGTTATATCACAGCATGTCAGGTCAATATGTGAGTAAAAGTGATGCAGGTCGTACCACAAGGTTCACCGTTGTGTATTGTTCTGACAGACCAAGGATAACTATTGGTCCAATCTGGGATTGATCTCATAATCAAATGATCAGGGTGCAGCTAAGGGATCATCCATTATATTTCTATGGGGGTGGGTTGCAAGTTTTTTAATTGAATACTTTGTTCAGAAATATGACCAAAATGAATAGTTTGTTAAATGTTGACAGTGGTAAAAAGAATTAATAGTTTTGTGAAAAATACACCCTAATATTTTTGTGTTTATAGTGAAAATAATAGATTGTTTAATGGTTCTCAGTAAGTAAATAATTTGTTGGATAAAGTTGGGAAAAAAATAGATTGTTCTAAAAAAACAATTCCACCCCCCTCCAATTCCCCCTAAAAATCAAATGCATGTTCCCTTACGGATGCACACACAACTTTAGCACTACTGGACCTCCTTGCTCCAGATTATTATCTATGAGACATTTACTGATATATATATATATAAGATAGCTACGTGACAAATTACAAAGGACAATGAACAATAAAACATTGTTCTATCATGATGTCATTTCTGGAGATTCGAACATGTGCTCGCAACTTGATGAAGTAAATGTTACGCCATTATTTTTTAGAGGGAAGTGTCTAGTGAGTTGTTCCCCCATAGATGTAGCTGGGCAACACAGATAAACACAATGGCTAATCCAAAAGTGGGGGAAATATGACAATTGGTATTGGGAGAAAAGGTACAGATAATCAACATTCGAACTGTGAGAAAATGCAGGAAAGACTTGTCAAACATTGCCGAGTTCGGGTTTTATTCAGAGAGTTTTATTCATCATTATCAAAACAAGAATAAATATTTTTTACACTTGTACATTTTATTAACATAATATTGATATTTCATACAATAAATAAACGACCAGTGGGAGTTGTTTATCATACAATAAAACACTGCAGGGAGAATAACCATGAGGGGCACATACAACTTAGTATCTATAGCAATGTACAATGTAAGGCAAGATCAGAGCCATACTTCTTCATTTTCATAGCAGCCCGGTCCTCTGTGAGGAGCACCTCGAAGTGGAACTACCTCATTACCAAAACGATTTGGTGGCATTTTGGTAGGGAATAGTTCCCTATTTAGAGTTGTCATGAAGGCAACCTTAGGTCTCTTGTCCACTGAAATAAACGAAAATACTGTTTGTAAAGGTACATTTTTAAATTGTTGAAAAAGTTCTAATAACCAACATATAACAGTCAATAATAACATATGCTTTTCCATGTAAACAAAACTTATCTGCCCTTCAACATACACAAATTACAAGGTGTTAGTGATTGTGGTAACTAAGGTTTGATTGAAACATTTCTTAACTTCTCTTTTCATTATGCACATCATTGGCTATGTATGACCATGACTACAGAAGTTTGGACACACATCCTCCAACTGGCCATCGACACTAGCTGTCAGTGACAAGTGCATACAAAGTGGAATAAATCTGTGACTGGGGTTTTGTACGGACAGATGCTCATAATCACAAACTAGAACTGTTACTAGCAAACATGAAAAAGGTCAAAGCATTCAAAGATCAAATGCACAAACAACACTTACTTGTACAGTCATTTATTCATCACAAAACATTTGTTATTTTGGGTAATAATGCTTTCAAAGCACAATTTGCTTTTACCTGTCAGGGCATTCAGAAGATTTGCTTGTTAAATATTGGAACCCAGACTTATCATATGGACTCTTTTTCAAGATCATAATTGCCACACCCCTTGTGACAATTTGCTGAAAGGGTCAGTATGTCTATGTGTTTTTAAATCATGCAACGTAAGCACTGTGTAGGGTAAACTGGCTTTAGTCTTGTTTTTTAATAGAGGCAAATTGAAGAGAAAGCTTGTGTGTTTTACTTGCGGCTGAGTTACAAAATACTAATTGCCAGCTTGATTAGATTAGATGCCAGTTTTTATCAAAGCCTAGATTATAATAATAATATGCCTCTGTCGTGTGAAGCCAATCACTCTCCTACCCAGGGTTCCTTGCGGTCAGCCGAGAACCTCTGTCAAATCGTCAGAACGTAGACAGTATCAGTTTCATGTTGGATGAGTCTACACGTTTATATAAACATGTGTCATGAAATGTTTAACTTTCTTTTGAGAAAATATCCTAACACATGAAAAGCTGTATCCATTTGTGTAGTTATCCTCCACATCCTGTCATCAAAGCCCTACGGACAGCTAGTGATATGATCACTTTGATGTGTAAGCTATATTGTCATGCCTACCTCATTGTCGCAGTTGAAGTAGCTAGTATTTCTACACAATTATGCAAAACAATATGTATAGTGCACCAACAGGCTTGCATTAGGCCTGTCTGTTCTTATCTCAGAATAAGCGCATTTGTTTACAAACAAGAGAAAAGTGCTGTCACATGATAAGCATACACCAATGTGGTCACGGGGAGCAGAAACAGAATAAGGCGAACAGCTCCGAGTAAGCTCGGGGGTTACCGGCTACTGTTTACAAACAAAACTTCAGAACAGTCTGTCAACGTCCTGTTCCTTTAAGCAAATTTAGTTACCTGAGATCCTTCTCCAAAACCAAATATATGGTACAAGAAGAATGTTATGTCTTCCCTTCAATTATAAATATATCTACATATCCACACCTGATTCTGGAAATGAGAAACTTGCTTTACCCCTAGTAACAAAGAACCTACCCAAATTCACTGAATTGACTGTATGGCTCAATGGTACTCAACCCAAAGTATGTCATCGGCTTTGGAATCTCACCCTAAGATTATTGATTGGGTGTCCGTGTCCCTAAGATCATAAAGGGGTATGGTGAAAACTGGCGAGATGCAGTGCCCAAAGACTAAACTGACTGTAAAAAGAGAATGCCATAAAAAGTGGTAATGACACTACTGCACTATGATGGAGGGTTATGTACATTGACATTATGCAATGACGTGTAATATTTAGTTCTGTTTCCTGTTCTGTGCTCCAAATCTCCATTTGTGATGTCAAATAGAGATATCTCAAAACAGTATAACACCTACTCATTTAAACGAGAGCTTTTCCCCATTTATATTTTGATGAAACTAACTACAAGGGCTCCATGCTGATTGGCAAGATTATGTTCCCAAACATCTTTGTAGCTACATACAGATTTTGAACAAATAAAGATACCATTCAATTTTATAACCTAGTTACCATTTAAAATTAGGTTGTCACAACAGAGGCATTATTTTGGCAAATGAGCAGGGGAGGCAGAACCCGGACACATAACAATCATCGCATTACAACACACTAACTGACCATCAGAATTGAACGGACAATTGCTGATACAAAAGGACACAACTGCTAGTGGTGACAAAATTGACCAAAAGGCAAAGAACGTCTTGCTCAGTCTGAACGTGGATGCTTTGAGCTTGACGACTGCATCGGTAGTACCAGGACATGGTCTGCTGTACCCAGACAGAGAGGCAGTAGTTGGACACTTCATATCTTGTTTGTTAGAATGGAATGGAGACATTGAAACATATACCTCATTCTTAACATGTCTCATAATAAATAACTGGCCATGAATGCAAGTAGTATCACGTAAAAAATGTGATACCTATCGAAAAAAAGAGAAAATAATCCAAGTATTTAAGTTTACAACAACGAGTAGTGTTTCAGCTAAATCTTGCACATATGTTTTTCAATATACATACACTACATTATAATCATGTTTAGATAATTTATATCAATGTAAGATGCAACATTATAATACTATAGGTATCTTTTAATTCTAAATACTTGTACATAATATGTGTGTCTTGATACACCTGACATATGACCAACATCATAATGTGTCTACTTTGGAACGACCACACCCAGTCTTTGAAATTTGTATAACCCATTTGGCCAGTTGATCCTCTTCATCATTTTGATATTCCATTGGCACTTTTTGATTTATCTTATCACAGAGTGTAGTTTGAGAAATAACATAAGATACAGCAGCTTTTCCTACGGACATTTCGCGAGCAGTGACTGCTTCAACTGCCTTTTTTAGATGTCAAGGTAATGCGCAGGTTTTACGTTCATGTTTGGCTCACTTCCTAAAAGTTCTTGGAAAATATATTAGTAGATTTTATAGATATTTAAAAAAATTGTAAAATTAAAATGCAATTATAAATAATTACACACAGACTAAGAACAATTTTGAAGAAAATATACCTTATTATATGAAGAGCTAGGTTGAATATAGACATCTGAATATTGTTATGGTACGTATACACAAATAAAGATTTTATTTCGATCTTATTTTATAAATCATGCATTAAGTTATATTAATTTATATGTCACTATGTACAATAAAAATAAAATCTTATATGTTGAAATGTGATGAAGATGTTCAATTGATTTTTTTTTTTTAAAATGTCTGAGTACTCCCTTGCCACTGTTTCATCAAGGTAGTACCCAGACATCGCTGTCCCTCCTCTTCAACCCTCACTTTGAAGTCGATTAAAATTCAAAATACATCACGCACACAAATAAACTACACTGTTTTGAATTCTGTGGGAAATTCCCCATTCTGTGATAACAGCCACTGTCATTTTAGGCAATACAAAATTACTGAAAACGACCTCTAAAAATTAGGTACATTGTAAATGTCGCCATTTATCACACATTACCAAATCACCATTCATGGCATTATTTACAGCATGTTTTAAAATCTAAATTTTGGATATTGACTCAGAGAAATGAATTTCAAAAATAACATATATGTCCTTTATCAAATCACCAATGGGCATATTGGATAGTGTTTACAAAATCATGTTACACTTATGCCGGTAATGAGATGCCTATCACATCACGTATATTTCAAACTCAGCAGCGATACATACATCCTTGAATTCCTCATATATTTTAGATTCAAATGACAAATTGTCTTTGACACCATTGTAAAGTATCTAGATGAAATCAAGCAAAATAAATAAGGTGTGAAAGCGAACACTGAGGTCGGAAAAATGTGCTTGTTTGAAATGTAAACAAAGCAAAATTCAGATTTTACACTGTGTAACATTATCTCCTATTTTGAGCTATCCATTTGTCTATTTGTTGCATACATTTGCTCAAAGTTTTCATGATATTCGTGGGAAGAGAATTGTAGCAAGAATTGGGTAATTAAAAAAAAAGATACATTGCAATGATTTGGTAAATTCAACAGAAATTGTAAAAGGTGCCGTTCTGTGCGACGCCATGACTGACGCAAAATCCTGCTCAGCGACAACAGTATTTATCTCTGTCTAGTTATCTTGGTTTCAATGAAAAACATTTAAACAAATAACAGTACACAGATTGTCAGAATGTTTCTGATTACTTACATGTCACATTTATGTACATACTATCCCTGAATCATCGAAAGTCCCCTCCTTCCTACTGTTGTCAGTGAACATGCCATTTTGTAAAAGTTGGTCACCAGTAGTGATGTCATACGTCAACATTGTTACACATATTTGGTATTTTCTTTGAGGTGAAGGTCCGTTAATGAAAGTACACATGATCATTGTATCATGCTGTTTACAGTTTAAATAATGATGTAGATTTTGCATATATTTTATACATTTTTTCACACAATTAATCTCACTATGAATATTTATCAATATTCAATATGATATACATAGATATAGGCCACAAAAGATATAACCTTTGATAACCTACTGTTTGTTTGAACATTGTTTACATAGAAATTGATAACTTTATAGTGTTGTATTAAATATTTCTTTCCTTTAGATGAAATGTAAGTGTGAAATGAAATGTAAATGTAAATGTAACATGTTCGTATTTCTTTGGAGTGTATTAGTCAATATTGTTATTTCGTACAAACAGGTTCATTTTATATTAAAACTGAAACTGAATATATTACTTTAAAAAAGGAATAATTTTTATTGTTAAATATATGCACACATTTTTAGAAGAATTGTCTTGGTCTTGGAATTGTTTTTAATGCCGTTTGATAGACAGAACGGTGATGTCTAACGATATGCCAGATGCAAGTTAGTCACAAGTGATTTGCGAATTATTCCTCTCGTTTTGTATTACATTATCAATGGGTTCACCCTTTATTAAATATTGTGATCACAGGATATTAAACTGTTTACCATTTTTCTCCAAGAATTGTAAAAAGTGTAAATATATAAACCGTGCCATGTACCCCATTGGTCATGACTTATATGATTATCCTGATAATTCTATACCAAAGGAGCTTTCTTCGCAATCTCATTAAAATCAGATCTTAGTTCTCGCTACCGCTAAACAAAGATCTGAGGACATCCCATTACAGGTCACATCAGACCGACCTTGTGCGAACTTTGACCGACCAATGGAATGACCAATCAGAAGGCAGCTTTCTCGTGCTTTACGGAACTAAGTTAAAATTGGCAATCACGCTTCGAAACATATTTTGACAAATTCTTGATTACAAATTTGAATCCTAAACAAAGAACATTCTGGAATGGCTAATAGATGGTCTAGATTGTATGTATTCAGTCGTTAAACCTGTAACTATCATGTGGAGTTAAAGTTTTCGAGGTTGCATGACTAGAAATCACATTCCGACTGTCACTTTCATAATCTGGTAAGCGATGCTCTGATTGGTCAGAATGAAAGGTCGTTCTGACGTGACCCCTAATGGGATTTCCTCAGATCTTTGTTTAGTGGTAGCGAGAACTGAGGTCTGATTTTAATGAGATTGCTTTCTTCGCATCTTTTATTGTATAATTCTGAGGTGAGATAAAGAGAAATAATCACATAATAATGAACAAAGACATATGTCCAATTTGAAAATAATGGTGTTTGCTTTGAAATATTCTTTTTGGTATTTGATTACGTGAGTGAGTGAGTGAGTATGGTTTTACGCCGCTTTTAGCAATATTACCGCAATATCACGGCGGGGGACACCAGAAATGGGCTTCACACATTGTACCCATGTCGGGAATCGAACACGGGTCTTCGGCGTGACGAGCGAACGCTTTAACCACTAGGCTACCCGACCGCCCCTATTACGTAAAATTGATGCCAAACAGGTGCATGGCTTGTCCAATTAAGATACACGGTAAACTATCTCATTGTTTAACAAATTCCGTTCTACACATCGAGATTTGCCATACTATGAGCGAAAATTAGGGGAGATATATATTAATCAACATACCCATGTCGTCTTTCTCCGACGTTGGCAGAGACATAAAACCTTCTATGACGTCAAATAAAAATAGTGTCATTTTTTTCAGTAATTCATTACATTTGATGACAAGGTTAGTGCTCCATTAATAATGGTGCAACATTAGTCAAATTCTACTTACACAATCAGGAGAATGCTGGAATTTAATGACTTATTTATAGGTTAGATAGGGCTATCCATTTTGCTATTACTTCCTTTTTTATAAAGTATGATTTCATCATTTCTTATAGGTGTTTTTATACCTAAAAGTTCCTCTTGAAAAAAACACCACGGAAATATATTTTCCTTATCCACAGGTCATTCTCATCAAGAATGACCTGAGTAACAATAAACTTGTGCTAAGCACAGCAGAGTTATGCCCCCTTTTCTTTGTACGTGCATGACCTCTCTGTCGTCTTTTGACGTCATAGAGGAAAATCAGTTTTCGTCATTTACGACATGTAACGTTATACATAAGCATATAAATCCTATTTTTAGTACATTCTCAGTCGACACTTAGCCATATTTTGTTTTCGAACTGGTTTAATATTTGCAGTAAAATTTACACCAACAGATAGGAAACTTCATATTCTACATCTCTACGTAATTTTATAGCCGGAGGTAGATCCATTGCGGTGTGAGCGCAATACTTGCGCAACCATCACTTTTCAGATCTGAGGAAAATGAACGTCAAAAAACAAAACTCGGCATCCAGCAGGTTAAACAGTACTATTTATTGAATTTTCAAGTCATCGTCTTTCCTGGAATGCTGTTACATTTTCATAAAGTCCTACCATACACCAAAGTTCATTTAAAATGAGTTGTTTGGAACACACTAATTTAAGACCGGAAACAATGTTGCTTAGCGATAATGTAAGAAAACCTAGGGGCGGGGCATGCATGTTTAAAAGGTGATCCTGGACAGTTTGCTTAGAGAGTTATCTCTTGCTGACACATTTTTAAATGGCCTATGAGAAAAACGGATCATGCTTGCCTGTTAGTTTTAGGTATTAGCAGTTTACTAATTAGCTGTTAATAAATGTTTGATGAGTGATGGTTACTACCGCTGTCCGCGTACTGCTGCCACTGCTATAGGTTTCTTTTGAAAATATTTCCTTTCACCGCATTGTACCAAACGGAAAGAACCAAATGTTGTCTGCCATCAGCTGACTATCCGACGTATACGTTGTTACAACTTTAGCAGTAGTTTGTGGTCAAATTGCACTATGGCCAAAAACACAAACAGTCAAACTTGGCCTTTCTGAATACACGAATTTAGGGGACGTATACCATTATCTTGGCGGTTTGGAGTCCAAACACTCAAGCCCACGATAATTTACAATATCCTTTTCCTTCTATATACCCATATGGCATACAAGTAATTAATGGTCAAAGATATATTGAACTTACCCTCCATTTTGAGGGACCACAACTGATTAGAGTTTCTCTAAAATGTCCTTATTTCCTTATTTCGGCTTCTCTTAGTTACGCGTTACTATGCTTCTTGCGCATGTGTGACATCGATTTTTGCCAGGAAGTGTCGCAAAACTCGATTTCCGGTTGTCGTAAATAGGCATGTCCACCGGCAAGTGCGTGTTGTTTTTGACGATGTTTAGTTCATGATTTAGCATAGAATTATCTAGTCACTGCTTGCTGTTTTAAGGATGGTGTTAATGAAATACTGATCTTGGAAAAGGTGAATAAAGTTTCATGGTTTGATTTGAGAAGTTTTGTAAACACAAACGTCAAAGTCCTTATACAAGGACTTCTCGTTGACATTGTATTTTTCGGTACTTTAAACTGTTTATGACTTTAACGTTTTTTATTTGACTTTATTCTTGTCAATGAAAATGTTGAATCAATAGCATACGAATCATTGTGTGAATGCCATGTACAAATTAAGATCATTTGTTTTTAACTTTACTCCTCCAATAATAGTTTGATACACCCAGGCGGCATTTGTTAGAAGTTGACGGATGACAAAGTAGACATAATTTATGGATAACCAATTCTTTATTATACTGTAATAGTGACGTTTTGGTATGGATCGTATACCATTGTCAACCATGACACATTTTTTTTTTATTATTATTATTATTATTATTATTATTATTATTATTATTATTATTATCGTGTTAACAGTTTGGTTATATAGTAAAGTCATATGAAGTACAGTCATAAATGAAAAATTATATTAGAGATCTTTTTCTCCTTGAGCTCAAAATCTGTGGTGTAGTGGATAGAGCATCTGCCAGGAGATCAGGTCAGTGGTTTGATCTACTGACCCTGTCAAACCTTAAGATGTAAAAAGATGGTACTTATTGTAAAAGTGCCTGCTGGTTGGTTCAGGGTCTAGTAAAACCAGCCACACATGCACACGCATATGTGTCTCTATGTAATGATAATAATTGTAATAATAATGTTGAAATTTATAATGCGCCAAATTCACACCCTTAAGCATGCTCAAAGTGCTGCATAATCACCTGATTCAAGTTTAAGTACTTATTCACCTCACCAAGAGCTCAAAGTACAGAACAAAACCTCACCGGTACAAGTTGATGGCAGTGAATGGGAATGTGTGTCAGCTATTTATTAGCTGACAGTGACAGATTGTCGTAATACTGTATCATAATCAGTGTTTGAAGTCATCTTGCAGACAATCTTCACGAATAGCTGCAAGATTGCTGATACAGCTTTATGCCATAACCATCTCATGCATATTATCATGAAGGTATTTTGAATACTTTCCTTTCAAGAAAACAACCCATTGACTCATTTTTTATTGACTCTAATACTTTAATTTTGGATCATAAATTTACTGTCGTTAGTTTAGGTATAATTTTTTTGTACCCATGTATTCTTCAGCCCTTGTCCACTCCTGCCTGGATTTACTTGCAAGTAATGATACTCATGGTAAAGTAAAAATCCTGTCATTCTTGACCCTGTTTATCAGGAAACTAATTCTCTGGACCAGAACTGTTAGTAATGTCTATATACACATGTTACAGTTGAACCTTGTCATCCTGAATGTTCCGATATCTCTAACCTGTTCTCCGGTCCCGACCACCTTACTATATACATATTCATGCCTATTTAGCTCGAATGTCTGGGTGTGTCAAAGTTACAATGCGGTCCTGCTAGGTTCAAGATAACAGGGTTCGATTGCATATATATATATACACACACTTGTGATTTGAATTTAATTCCACTGTAAACAGAACCATCCACTTAACAGGGTTTCTTGTATATCATTACCAAGTCCAATGTATTATTGCTGCTTGTGGCTTCAAACCCCAGCATATTATATTGTAAGTGTTGTTTCAGTTGTGATCTCCCAGGCCATCAGTCCCCATCGTCATGTCCAAATCATCTGAGGAGGTGCTGCTCATTGTCAACCATGTACGACAAAAGAAGACTGATGGAACTCTGTATCTCATGGGCACCCGCTTGGCATGGATGCCGGGGGGGAAGAGCTCTTTCACTATCAGTCACATGTATGCCAACATTAAAAGTAGGTACTCTTATTCTAGCTTGATATTTTATTCAAGTTGCGTCATCAGTGTTTGTTTACCGGTAAAATAGGCAGTGTGCTGGTAAAATTTTACCCTGTCAGTCCAAAATATGGTACATACCAGTATTTTAAGGTCCTTTCGGTCCAGTAAGCTGGTAAGTTTATAACTGACTGGAAACACAGGCCCTGAAGAAAATTGTATCGAAACTGTACTTTGTGTAGGAATTAAGAAAGTAGGCATTGTGTTAGATGTAGCTTTGCTTGCTGTGTCGGTATGGGGTCCCACATTTCTTTTCAAATAAGGTGTAGTTTGGATAAGACCTATAATTGTGAAGGACTGGATTATTGTTGATTATTTTGTACAATGAAATAATTATTCGATTTTTACTCAAATGTTTTAAATGTGTGAGACATTTTGTTTACAAACAATTTAAGGTATCTGTGCACATTAACTGTTTTCTGATGTTATACACACAAAGTAGGACAGTTTGGTAGGACTCTGTATAGGGTGTATTTCATCAAGTCAAGAAAGAAGAAACACACATTTAGCAGTGTCTGTAGATATTTGGGGACCGTAAGATGATGTGAGGTGGGGTGTTTGAACTGGACATGTGGTGAGCAGGGATGAAAATCTATTATGTAATTTAGTATGATCGAGTAAAATAATCATTATTATTTGGAATATATGGTTTAGACATGTTAGAAATGCAATTTATATATCTGTTGTTTATCATGTTTATGATTGATAAGAATACTTACTTGTTAAATTGATTTGCTAATATGTCTGCTTTTCTTTGAGGCAACCTCTGGTACAAGTGCTGCCACATTTTGCGCCATCATGATCAGAGAAAATACTACAGTAAACTACGGTTTTAACGAACTCAAAGGGACTGCTAATTTTAGTTCGTTTTAACCGTAATTTGTTATAAGCATATATACAGTATAACTACAGCAAATAGTCGGGACTAAAAAGTTAGTTTGTTATAAGCGTGCGGTTATAACCGTAGTTTACTGTATTTCTTCCCTGCTTTGTTGTAATATGGGTATGACAGAACATGTCTGCATGGAGTAGGATTTGTCCAGAGTGTGTATAAAACATCATTTCCAGTACTGTCTGGGGATGAGTGTGCAGTACGTAAAGCTTGTGTAGAGAGGTGGACTAACACGAGCCTGCCACAGTGCTTCATATGGTGTAGGAACGGTGTGTGTCGTGGCTCACACTGCAGTACGTAAAGCTTGTGTAGAGAGGTGGACTAACACGAGCCTGCCACAGTGCTTCATATGGTGTAGGAACGGTGTGTGTCGTGGCTCACACTGCAGTACGTAAAGCTTGTGTAGAGAGGTGGACTAACACGAGCCTGCCACAGTGCTTCATATGGTGTAGGAACGGTGTGTGTCGTGGCTCACACTGCAGTACGTAAAGCTTGTGTAGAGAGGTGGACTAACACGAGCCTGCCACAGTGCTTCATATGGTGTAGGAACGGTGTGTGTCGTGGCTCACACTGCAGTACGTAAAGCTTGTGTAGAGAGGTGGACTAACACGAGCCTGCCACAGTGCTTCATATGGTGTAGGAACGGTGTGTGTCGTGGCTCACACTGCAGTACGTAATTCTTAGGACCACGTGTTACAGCCACCATGTACAGAACTCTCACTGTTGATGCTATTGAGTTACTCAATATTCACAATATGGAATCACAAAGAAATGTCCTGAAATTATCAATCATTTTTTTAAAAACTCTACTAGTTCTGAACTATAAGATGATGTAAACATTGCAGCGCAGAAAATTTCCCCAGACACAAAAGATAAAGTGCAGTTGCAGCTGGTGATGCATGATGGTGGTGCAAACACATTCCACTTCAACAACGCCGAGGGCCGGTCAGCACAGATGCGGGATCGCGACAGTGTCAAGGAGCTGCTCCAGCAACTGCTGCCTAAGTTCAGGATGAAAATAAGCAGTGAACTTGAGGAGAAAAACAGGTACTTGGATGTTTGCTTCATCTGGTACCGAACGTCTCATGAAGCGCTGTGACGTGTATCATCTGTTAAAGTATCATGGTACATCTACTTATTTTTGTTTACAGTCCAATAATGAGGTTAGCTATACAGAATTACAAACCTGCTGCCCCTAGTGTATTGATGTTGTTAATTGTTATTACCTAACCTTGGCAAAGATCTATGAAGTCATATACAGTCAAGTCTCGTTAATCCGACAGTCGGCTTTATCCAACACTAATGATGGGAACCGATTAAATCTGTGCTATTTAGACCCGTTAATCCGACAGTCTCGCACTCTGCCCACTCCGACACACCTAATTTGCAACGAATTACCGAAATCACTCATTAATCAGTCTCGTTAATCCGACACAGTGATCAGCGTACTCTGTGGTCATCTGCCGGCGAATACACAGCCTGTGTTTTGATGCGAGACGAATCGGCTGGTAGCTGCATATTACAACGGCTGCAGAGATAAACTTGCTTAACAATAAACAATTAATGCTTTGAATAAAGAAAACAGGATAAATCACATGCTTAGATTACCTCAATCTTATTAAAATCAGATACAAGTTCTCGCTATCGACGAGGACATCCCATTACAGGTCACGTCAGAACAACCTTTCGCGAACTATGACCTACCAATGAAATGATCAACAGGAAGTCGACGTTAGCCACTTAGAAAGCAGCTTTCTTAAGCTTTAGGTACCAGTTTCAAAGTTGCGACTTCCATTCCAGACTATGCTTTTTAAAGTATTTTGAATAAGTCATACAGTCCGTAACAGTTTTGTGTTAAACTTTAGAGGTTGCTTGATTAGAAAACATATTCGGCCAACAATGAAACATAACAATATGAATATTTATTTTATATTTTTGACTACTTGTTTATCTATCGTGTAGTTGTCCGATTTTCGATCACGAATGTTGATACTACTAAATTTCGTTTATCCGACATACTCGTTAATCCAACATAATCATATGCAACCATCAATGTCGGATTAACGGGACTTGACTGTATTCACTCACAAGGGACACTTAATGTTTTACTCAGAAGCAGAATATTCTCTTTAGTACTCAAGGCCCTTGTTTATTATTTTCATGTACTGGTAGTTGGTCTGTTATTTAAACAGACATCAGCCTACTGAACCTGTTGTGTCATGATTATGTTGTGAACAATAGATGGGTATAAGGAAGAGAATATATTGATATATTCTTTATTATGAGGACCACAACATTTCGTAGTTGATGTTTACTCCTTCATCAGGTGAATGAATGCCCTGAGGCATAGAGCAGATATATGTATATATGTACATGAGCATATATATATGTACAAGTAAGGACAACAAAATTATTAAGGTAACGAAAGGTGGAAAATAACAAAGGGAAGAAACTAACAAGGGAAGCCAGCAGATGATTGGCACTGATAGGTGAATAGCAAGAGCCAATGGAAGCCATAACTTGACAGTAATTATTGCTGAAGGTATGTTACCATGGTTATGTTGTGAACAGTAGATGGGTATATCTCCTTCTGTTACCATGGTTATATTGTGAACAGTAGATGGGTATATCTCCTTCTGTTACCATGGTTATGTTGTGAACAGTAGATGGGTATATCTCCTTCTGTTACCATGGTTATGTTGTGAACAGTAGATGGAGTAGTATAGGTAATGGTGATTCTGCCGCAACCCCACTGGAGCCAGATTTATTTACCTACACCACCACTACAGGGGAATTTTTTATGTGTAAATGACTATGCGATTCAACAATATTCATGAGATAAAACTAAATTGTAATGAAAATGACTCTAGCTCACCACCACTTGGAGCCATTTTCAAACCTATCAATGCTTCTATGATATAAATTTTTATAGGTAATTGTGATTCTGCCGCAACTCCACTGGAGCCAGATTTATATACTTATACCACCACTACAGGTGGCATTTTTTATGTGTAAATGACTATGCGATTCAATGATAGTCATGAGATTAAGTTAAATTGACTCTAGCTCACCACCTCTTGGAGTCAATCAATGATGTCATTAGTACAGATGAGACTAAATTGTAATGAAAATATTCTCTATTATTTTTACTAATACGTATACCATTATTTTTAACAAAGTGATATTCAACATTTTTACTAAGTTCTTCGTTCATTTTACTAGGAGACCAGACTATATACTTTTTTTCGAAATTGGTAAGAAACAATTGATGACCGTATTTGGTTGGTTTGACATCACAAATATAATATATACCTTGTGTTAATTCTCTCCATTTGATAATTTTGTCCCTGAGCATAAATGTTTCAATAGCTTTTTCGAGTTCTTCCTTTGTTGGTTTGTAATTCTCCATTATTATATACTTATGTAAGGATTCTTCTAAATGTGATCTAATGATAGTAAGCAATCTATTTTTAATCTCCAACCAGTTCTTTGGTTTTGGCAAGGAATAATTGACGCGCTTGTTGTCTCCCCTGTTCTATGAACTTTTTTTTCTTGTCTTCGCTAATACCACTGGTCTTACGATAATTTGAACAAATCTCCTGCTTCATTGCGTTGTATTTGGTGAGTTCTGACAAAACTAAACGAAACTCCTCCCCAGATATCTTACAATCAGCCATTGCTGTCGAAATATGATCTTCAATGCTGTTCAACTTTGCTTCGGCGAGTATCCGAATATTATCGTGTTTTAATGCTTTCTTTTGCAACCTACGAGAAATGAATTTTATCGCTATTCCTGCCAGTCCTGAGACTCCGGCGGGTATTTCCATGCCCAGAACGATAGGCGCGGCGATTATAGTTGATAATAAACCAACACCGGCTACACCGAGTCCCATGCCAGCTGTTACAAGCGCGGTGTCAACTCCGTCCATAGCATTTACGGCTCTGCGATACTTTTTATACAATCCAAGTCTCAACTCCCTATCCTTCCCTATTCGATGTTTTATATCGCTTATTTGATGTAATCGAAATCCATCAACGGTATCCATCTTTTCAAATGCCTCATCGAGCGCCGGATATAAACTCATAGTGTATATTACGGTCATATAATAGTCTTTAATTGATCTTGCTTAAATGTTTTGAGAGTATACATCAACCTTATTAAATGAATATTATACTGCAAGAATATCTTAGTAAGAGAAATGCTATCACTTTTAATAATTTGGACTACCTCAAGGGTTGCAACGGGTGAAGCTCCAATATGAATAATACTGCAACGTTGACGCTTGTGTTTCTTTTGCCATTTAATCGATAGTCCTGGTAATATTTCGAAGACATCTACCGGTACATCTCCGAACAAGACTTCAATAATAAGCGTAGAAAGATTAGGTATTGCACTCAAGTTCTTTTTAATATCATTGAATTCAGTAACCAAATTTAAACTAACATTTTTTACTGCCGGACGACTATATAACATATGACCTGGGTTTTCTGGCTGGGGAGAGACTAACACACTTTTTTGTTTTGATGGGATATAAGCCGCGAGTACGATCCTACTATTTATTATCTTAGTTAAATTATGTGCCTTACCCATCATAACATACGGTGGGGTAATGACGATATTCAATAGCCACTCGATGTTTGCTTCGACCATAGTCCATTTATTATCATCGTTGTGAGTAAGATTGTACGAAGTGGTTTTTTTAAGGAGTCTACTAACAACGTCGACTTCGCTTAAATCTCCTAGATTACCTGTGAATGTAACTTCTTTCAGCTTGTATACATTATCTTGTAAGTGTAAAGCGTATAACTTACCATAGGTACCAGGTCTACCGAATCCTTCTGTGTCTCCGAGATCGGAAAGCGCTATTGTATTACATTGTCTGAGTGTTCCAGGGCCTGATGAATCAACCATTATTTATAATATGGAGTGTTACACTTAAGTATCCTATATGTACAGGTTGGTGTTTTACATCTAATACAAAAATTTTGAGGTCTGAAATAATACCACGCTTTAATTTTTTGTATTGTAATGTTGAGAAAGAGTCCGTTCTACCGCTATTGTATTTTTCATCTTTTACTGGAACAGATCTGAGTAGAGTTGAAGGACTTTTTAGTTGAATATTATCCGTCGTGCTTTTTTTATCAAGATGGATGCACAACTCTTAATAGGGAACTAAATCGGGTAATTTATATCCCTGTGCTGATGTCTTGATTACTGTTATATCTCCGAGTGCAAATCCAAGTGTAACCGCTAATTTCGTGTAAAGCCTTACTTGATTTTCTCCAGTGTCTAATTTCAACATCCCATTCGAATCATTTTGTGTGAGACTAGCTCCGAAAGGCTTAAAAACTTCATTATTGAGTGAGCATACGCTGTAATACCCATCAGGTATAATAATGTATTTGTCAATTCTACCTAATTCACCTAATAGTAAAAATATATTATTACGTCTTGCATCATTTATATTGGTCCACCTCGGGTAATACGTTACATCGCATAGAGCGACTTCAAGTTGACCATCCGAGTTATCGATAGTATGAAGCAGTTCAATAGACTGACCATTTGTTATTCCCGGGAGTGTGACATACATATTAAATATACAATGATACTATATCATAACTTAAATATGAAATCGAGATACATTACTAATCAGTCGATTTTAGTAAGTGCCTCTGGTGCTGATTTTTTTGTTGAATTCCCTGATATCTTTGAAAAATACAGGGTCACGGCAACTAGCGATAAAATGGTGCACGATTTGTTTCACAATCTGATGCAATTTTGACAGAATCAGTTAAACTTTGCCATATGGTGTGCAACAACAGGATGTGGTGTATCTCTTTATGCCCCAGGATTTGAACTAAATAAGTCTGTTTTATCATTTCACGTGTACTATCAGATTAGACGTATTCTTAAAGAAATTAGTGCCCCATTACCGCAGGATCGAGCATGGAATGCATCAAATAATCCGTACAATAGGTGGGCATTCGAACGTATTTGTCAGGAATTTAATATTTCTACGAGTAAAGATTGGCGTCTGAGTGGAGTT